CCAACCCCTCCCCCCCCAACTCCCCCAACCTGAGAGGGGGGGAAAGACAAGGTGGACTCATGACCCCCCCCCCTCCACCCCCAACCCCGGTGAGGGGGGGGGGGAAAGAAAACGTGGGCCCCATCAACCTCCCCCCCCCTTCCCCCCCAACCCGGCAGAGGGGGGGAAAGAAAACGTGGACCCGATGACCCCCCCCCCCCCCCCCCCCCTCAACCCAGCCCACGCACCCCACAGAGCAGAGCTAAGGCTATAGCTTTTTAAAACTCTCACGCCAGATTGGCGGATATCTATGTATACACCCAAGATGTTACCGGCTCGCTGCGCTTTGCCTTTAAAATCTTGGTCGCATGGCGCCAGGGAGGCGCGATGAGATCGGTTGTCGTCACAGCCGCGGTGTGTTCTGGCCATCGAGACTATGGAGCAAACAGGGTTGATAGGACCCAGGGAATATTGCGGCTCAAAGAGCTCCGAAGGGGTCTCTGCCGTCATGGGGCCCAGGGGCTCGGAACCCCCATATTAGGCGAGGGGTAATGCTGCCGATGTGGCTCCAGGGGGTCATGAGACTCACAAGGTTCACAGGGCTCATGGGGTTCGTTGGGGTCATGGGACTGTTTGTGCACATCGGGCACGGGGCTCATAATGCTAGGTGGCTTTTACAAAGGTCATGGGGGTCATAGGAGGCTCATGGTGCTTAGAAAGGTCATGGGTCTCCTTGGAGTCATCAGCTCTTGGGGGCCATTGGGCAATGCTCCTGGAGGCCATAGGGCCCAGAGCGCTAACAGAGCGCGTAGGCCTCGTAGGGTTCATGGGGCCGATTGGGGTGAAGGGGCAAGTCGGGGCCATAGGGCTCATAGGGCCCATAGGCCGTATACGGCTCACTGGGCTCGTAGGGCTCAGAGGGGGGTCTCATGGGTCTCGCAAGGCTTCACGGCTCCTAGTGCTGAGGGGGTTCTAGGGCTCATAGGGCGCATACGCCTAATAGGGGTCATCGCGCTCACATGGTGTCATGGAGGGTCGGGGGGGTATGGTGCCCGGCTCATTGAGTTCATGGGGCTCCTGGGGCTCGTGAGGTCATGAAGCTCATGGGGCCTGTAGTGCTCATAGGTCTCAAAGGGCCCATCAGTCTCATGGGGCTCAGGGAGCTCGGAGAGCTCATGGGCTCGTAGGGCTCTTGAGGCTCATTGGGCTCCTAAGGCTCATTGGAGTAATAGGGTTCGTGGGGGTCATAGGGCTCATGGGGCCCATAGGGCTCACAGAGCTCATAGGGCCCACAGGGCTCATAGGGCTCATGCGGCTCATGGGCTCGCAGGGCTTGAAGGGCTCATTGGGCTTATAGGGTTCATGGGCCCCATAGAGCCCATAGGACTCATGAAGCTCATAGGGCTCGTAGGGCTCATACGGCTCATAAGGCTCATAGGGCTCATAGGGCTCATAGGGCTTATGGGCTCATAGGGCTCATGGGGCTCATAGGGATCATAGGGCTCATGGGGCTCATAGGGCTCTTGGGGCTCATAGGGCTCATGGAGCTCACAGGGCTCATAGGGTTCATGGGACTCATAGGGCTCATAGGGCTCATTTGGATCATAGCGCTCATAAGGCTCATAGTGCTCATAGGGCTCCTAGGGCTCATGGGCTCGTTGGGGTCATTGGGCTCATAGGCTCATAGGGCTCGTAAAGTTCATAGGGCTCATAGGGCGCATGAGGCTCATAGGGCTCATGGGCTCATAGGTGTCATGGGGCTCATAAGGCTCATAGGGCTCATAAAGAAAGCTCATAGGGCCCATAGGGCTCACAGGGCTCATAAGGCTCATAAGGCTCATAGGGCTCATAGGGCTCATACGGCTTCGGCCTCCTCGGCTCGCGCGACTAATTGGACGAACCGGTCCCCGATGCCAGATCGATTTTGGACGGGTGGTCCGAAAACGGTCCCGAGAGGCAGAAACGTCGAAATTTGTATCGTCGGGTTCGGATGGTGGATTTTCCTCCTTCTCTTCCAGCCTCTTCCTGTTTCCCTCCTCCTCCCTCCTTCGACCTCCTTGCTCCTTCTCCTCTCCTTGTGTGCCTTTCCCCCAGGAGAGCGGGCTTCACCTGCGGCTCTGAATGGAGGATTCGCAGTGGGGCACCTTCGGCCGTCTCGTGGCCCTCATGGGGCCTTTGTGATTCGTCTTCCTGGGGGGATCCGCAGAACGCTACGTCACCGCAAGTGTGCCGAATGTCCCCTCACATGGACCGCATCCCACAGGGAGCTCCACCGACGCTGAAGAGCCAACGTGTGCATGCCGCCTCACCGCTGCACCGACGGTGAAGAGCCAACGTGTGCATGCCGCCGCACCGTCCGTGGCGGCACACCCGTTATCTGGATTATGAGTGGGGGGGGGTCCTTCGGGGTTTCTCGGCGCGTGGGGGTGATAGCCCTGGAGGTGTTAGGGTTCCCAGGCCTCACAGGGCTCATGGGGCACCATGAGGCACCCATAGTGGTCGTAGGGCTTGTGGGGCCAACAGGCCTCATATCTCATATGGCTGATAGGGGTATGGCCTCTCGGGGCTCTCGTGGGGCTCCTTTTCAGGCTCTTTTGGGCTGACTGGCGGCCCTCCTGAGCCGTCCCAGGACCCTCTTGGGCCGTCATGGGGGGCTTGGGCCGTCTTGGGGCCCTCTTGGTTCTTCTTGGGGGCCTCCTGCGGCCTTCTTGGGGCTCTCTGGGAAGCCTTTTGGTGCTCTTTGGAGCCGTCTTGGGGCTCTCTCGGGTCGTTCTGGAACCCTTTTGAGCTGTCTTGGGGCTCCCTTGGGGACTTCTTGGGCCGTCCTGGGGCGATCTTGAGGGCCTCTTGGGCCGTCTAGGACGCGGTGAAGGCCAAAGACGCGGGCATGCTAAGATTGCACGTTTTCCGAAGGGAATGGGACGATTTTAACCTCTTGGGGGTCTTCTTGGGGGCCTCTTGGGGCGTCTTGAGAGCATCTTGGACCGTCTTGAAGCCACCTTGAGGCCTCTTTGAGCGCTCATGAGCCGTTCTGGGGCGGTCTTGGGCCGCCTTGGGGCTTTGCGGGACCCTCCAGGGATGGCCGGGAGAGGCTCCCAAAACCGAAATTCGAATTTGACGTCGGTGGGGGCGCCCATGGCCGAATTTATGTACGGGGGGGGTCAGGAGGGTTTTCCGCTATAAGAATATTCGAAGAGGAACATCTGTTTATGCTTGTACATTATATACGTATCTCTATGTATCCCTATATTTTATTACACGGACCCCCCCCCCTAAACCGGACCCCCCCCCCAGGGACGCCCCAGACGCACTTTTGGACGTCTCGGCGGCCCCCTTGGACACCTTTGGAACAAGTCCGCTGGCCCTTCCGGGCCTCCCAGGGCGCCTTGCTCGGCCTTGCCAGCAGACACGGCGATCAGAAGGGTCATCGGAAAGGCGCACGAAATACCCAAGACAGCACAAGAGCGTTCCAAGAGGAACCTCGATGGTTTGAAACCGGCCGAAGAAGCCCCCGAGACGCCCCAAGAGGGCGTGAAGAGAACCCCGAAGAAGCAAACATCGCCCCATCCCCTTGGGAAAATGTATACGTTTAGTATATCCGCTTTTGGGTGTCTTCGCAGCGTCTAAGACGGCCCGATGGGCTTCGGATATCGCCCCAAGGCGGCCCGAGAGGCCCCCCAGAGGGTTTGAAGACGGTCCAACAAGAGGGCCCCATGACTGCCCCAGAGAGCCCCGAGACTGGCCACAAGAAGCCCAAGATGCCCCAGAAGGCTCCCAAGAGTGAACCACGAAAGCCATGGAAGACCCCGAAGAAGACCATTGCAGGCCCCCAAGAGAGCCCTATATGGCTTCAGAAGACCTCTGGAGGGCCCCAGCTCCCCAAGACGGCCCAAAAAGGCCCCAGGACGGCCCAAAAGGGCCCCAGGACGGCCCAAAAGAGCCCCCAAAACGCTCAGACGGCGTTCCCCTACGAAGTACGTCGAGCTGACCCAAAGATCCTGGTGCCACGTTTGAGACTCGAGGCTTGAATTCTTCAATCGAGAGAGACAGGTTTCCCCCCCTCCTCCCCCCTTCAGCCTTCTCAGCCCCCCGTTCATCCCTGCTCCCTTCCCGTTCCCCGTTCATGGACAAGTGCCATCGCAACAGTTTTATGCCTCCTTGTTTGCCAGCACCTTCGCGAGTAACAAATCATCATTATTTCCCCACTCCTGCGCACAAGCGCGCAAGCCCATCGGGCGAACGCGGTGTCAGCAGGCACCAGGGACATCAGAGAAATGAGCCGGTCGCCCGTCCAGGCTTCGAGGTCCCCCTTGCTGAAGCAAGCGATGATTGATTGCTTTGCCGGGGAAGCGCGCGGAACAATGCGCATGGCGCGAAGCGCCAATGCAGTCTTGTAGCATGTGTACATGTATAGGTGTGTGTATGTAGATGTGTATAAATTATACATTGAGAGATATAAGCGTAACAAATCGTAAGCTGGGCCTGCTGTCGTGGAGTCTCCGGCGGGCTCCGTGTGCGCCAGCGGGTGATGGGCTGCGGCCCCCGGGGCGCCGCCGCCGTGGGAGGGGCTTTCGAGCTCGTCGGATGCGCGCGCTGCTCTGCCCCGACCCTTCCTTCCTCTCTCCCTTCACCGCCGCAGCCCGACCTCGTTCGTTATCTGTCCGTATTCGTTTTTTCTTCTGTCTCTCTCGCGCTTTCTCTCTCTCTCCCTCGCTCTCTCTCTCTCTCTCGCTTTTTTTTTTTTTTCTCTCTCTCTCTCTCTCTCTCTTTCTCTCCCTCTATGTACATATTTCTCTCTCTCTCTCGTTCTGTCTTTTTTTTCTCCCTCTCTCTCTTTTTCTCTCTGTCGTTCTCTCTCTCTCTCTCTCTCTCTCCCTCTGTCAGTGTCGTTTTTTGTTTTGTTTTGTTTTCCTCTCTCTCTCTCTCTGTCTCACGCGATTTCCATGCCTCTCCTTTCTGCCATCTGCGCAGTCTCTCCCCCCCCCTTCTCTGTTGTCCTTCCCCCCCCATAGCGGCACGAGGCGCCGGGCCGCTTCGACCCCCTGAACCCGATCTGGCAGCACCCGGACACGGGCGCGCTGCTCTACGTGGGCGGCGTGGCGGGGCGGCCTGGGAGGGAGATTCGCACGCGATGTTTCGTTTCCAATGTCAAAGAAAAGAAGAGGCCCCGATGCCGCTACCCCTGCCTCGTTTTCGCTTGTTTGGGCCACTTGGGAGGCCCTCGTGGGAGGCCCTCGTCGCCACGGATGGAGTACCCTCGACATTCTAGAAAAGGAAGAACTCCCGATATCGCTACCCATGCCTCGTTTCGCTTCTGTGGGCCACCTAGGAGACTCGCACGCGACTTCCCGTTTCCAATCTCAGAACAATCGGCGCCAACCCAACATAGCAATACTATGCGCGCGTCGCCCCCCCAGGGGCGACGCTCGCTCCGAGAAATCCTGTGGTAGATGACCCGTGGCGGGTGCGTTTTGGCCGTCTTTTTCGGGAATGTGTGTACTACAAGATCGTTGCATTATCGGGTCGGACGCACGCCTCCAGGGAGGACGCATCGTATTAGTATGTCCTTGCGCGTCCCAACGAAGGAAGAACTCCCGATACCTCGATCCTTGCCTCTTTTCGCTTGTTTGGGCCACCTGGGGAGCCCTCATGGGAGGCCTTCGTCGCCACGGATGGACTACCCTCGAAGTCCGAGTCAGAACGCACCCTTGGAGAGGTCCAGAGAGTAGCGGTGTCGGTACCTTTCGGTGTCCCCCGAGACTTTTGGTCCCCTCCCAGAAACTTGGCCGTTCAGAAAAGAAAGGGAATTCGGAGATACACCCCTTCGGGTTCATTCGGATGCACCCCTTTCGACGATGCGCGCACCACCACCGTATGTCAACGAGTTTTGCCCAAAGTTTTCGGTCTGGTCGAGACACCCCAAGACGTCGGGGATTGGGGTCGCCATGCCCCCCGTCAGAGACGAGGCGAGCTGAAGCAAAAAGCAGCAGCGGCAGCGCAGGCAGCGTACCCTCGCGGGAGGGGGAGGGCGGATCGGGTCGGCGAGACGTGGGTTGCGGCCCCCGCGCGGCTCCGGGGAGGTAGAGTGAGTCGGAGAACTCGGGCGAGTCTGCGCGTTTGGGCGTGGCAGCTGCAGCGGTTGGCGCGGACGCAAAGCGACGGGGATGAGAAACGACTTGGGGCGAGCTGACGCAGGTGCAGAGCGGCGCGAGGCGGAGCAGCAGTTGCGGCAGCAGCTTCCGATCGGCTGCCACCAGCTGCGCTCGAAGGAAGACAATCTGCATAAGCATGACATTTCGGAGGATCCCATGAATCGGCGCTGAGGTCCCCTTGGCGGTGCTTCCAGCGCCGCCCCTGGCGCGCTGCCCGCGCCAGGGAGGGGGTCCATTGCCGATCCGGGAAATCCGCGCGGACCTCCGAACATTTGGGTCTGTGACGTCCTTAGTAATTCCTCTCATTCCGTCCCTGTGCTCCACTCTCCCTGTGCCCCTGCCTTCTCACCCCCGTCCTTGCCTTCAGCTCACTCCTCTGCCCTCCGCTCTGCCCTCTTCCCCTCCTCCGCGAGGAGGCCCCCGAGGCCCAGGATGGGGAGGAGGTCGGGCGTTGCGCAATGGGAGGGGAGGGGCATGAAACGGGGGAGTGAAGAACAGGTGTGCGCTGTGTGCCCAAAGGGGCCCTAAAGAAGCCCCCTGGGGCCCAAAAGCGGCCCGAAAGGTGCACGTTTCGTCCCCCCTCCCCCCGTGTATTGCCCCCCCATATTAAGCAACGCCCGAGGAGGACGAGAGGGCGGATAATCCGGGAGAGGAAGACCCTCTCCCGTCTCCCAGCTGGAACCCGGCAGAGCTATTTGCGTCACGGTGAGAATGGGCAAAGAGGAGGGCGGCCGCGGAGGAAGACAAAGAAGGGACCCGCGTCTCAGATTGCGCAGCATGTCACGCGTGGTGCTGGCGGCCTCAAGCTCCAGTAGGAGTCGTGCGAAATGGCCACAAGTCGGCGGAGCACCTCGACGCGCACTGGAGCCAGTACAGATAAGGTGAAGGCGGGTACATCTCCCCAGACATCTGATGCAACGTTTTCCCCATCCGACTAGTTGTGGTGCGGTTATCAGTCCTGGCAGTCGCTGCGGGACTGGGGTGACCGTCGGATCCAAGATTTCGTTGCCGATTTTTGTTGGCGGGTTCCGTTCAACCCTGGAGGGCAGCCCAGCCCTGTCAAATTTTGCGCGGCGGTTGTACAACGACGGTGGGCGCACCGTCGAACCCCTCAGGACAGCCCATCGTTGTCAGAATTTGCGTGGCGGTTGTGCGACGAGCGCGGGCACGGTGGTCACGCGCATTTTGGTGCGCACATTCGTTATGGTGTTCGCATGCGGTTGAAACTAATTCAGAGTGGATATGAACGTGAACGCGAGTTGTGAGTCGTTATTTCACACTTTTTTGTTATGTTTGAAAACAGTGTCCCTGCGTCGCTAAAAAGCTGTGTGTGTTCAAAGGCCGTTTTACTTCGTTCATATGATGTAGTCGAATAAAATGTTTAGTTTGTTCATTGTTTGAGTTTTTTGGTCGAGATATATCACGCGGTTATTCTACCGAGTATCGGCCGTTGTGAAACAACTCATAGGCGGGGGTACCGACTTGACCGAGATGTCGTTGTTATTTCCAAGGGGTGGTCACCCTTGAAAATTATATTGATGTTGTCGTTGATGTGCGGTTGTAGGTTTGCGGAGAAGGGCTCCCGACTCGCCTCGCGCACCCTCCAGGCCCAAAGGGCCGCGGTGGTCCCTGGGGATCTCGCCTCGTGCCTCCGACGAATGGCGACTGCATGCGGAGGACGCCAGGCCCGGAGGGTCTCCGTGATCCTTGCAGGTCCCATCTCGCCCGCCCGTCCCACCTGGGCCGCCAGGCCCCAGGGAGCCCCGCGAGTCCAATGGCGACCGAATGGCCAGGCTCATCTTAGCAGAGGACCCCACCAGGGAGGCGGCACGCCGTCGAGGCGCCAGAAAATTACGCCGTCCACAGACATCCAGAACAGACACCAATTGCAGGCATCCATCTATGGCATCCAGGTCGCACATGAAGAGCATCCATAACAACTTACACTAAGAGCATCAACGACACCAATCACAGGCATGACTAACACATATCGCTAAGATTGGCCACAAGCAAGAATGAAGATCATCTGGACAGTACAGAATTCAAGAACCGGCCTCATGACGCACACGCAGTTTGTATTGTATGGACAGCATACGCCATGTTACGGCACAAAGGTCATGCATCACACATTGCATCCATAACTTGTATTAAGAATATATTCTGATACCAAAGACTGTGACTACCAAAGACGGCATACATCAAACAACGCACCCACACAAAGATCGCATATACAGTACGGACATTCCCAGGTACATACAAACACATAGTTTAAGACATGTCAGTAACCCACGCTGACAACACGCACAGCAATAGCACAATCAAACACACACACACACACACACACCACACACCACACACATACATGAAACACACGCGCTGACAGCATACATTAATACGCGACTGCAATGGCACGCGTTGAACATAGACACACACGGGGTACCTCCAGACTATTTTGTATGCGCTTGCATCAATAACACACCATAGAACGCAATCACCACATGCACCGACATCAATCACTGATGACTTCTACACATGCGCTCACACCAACACATACCCAAGCAACGGACACCACGCATTCACACCAACTATAGAAATCAGTTCACACATCAAACATATACATCACTCAAGCAAATCAAGCATAAGCATGTCAATAGCATGCGGCATACATCTGCATCAATAGCACCTAGCGGAAACATGCTACAACGACCTACATGAAGAACGATCATCGAGAGCAGGGGCATAAGTAACCGACACCTAGAGCATACACAAACAACAAATACACGTCACGCACACCAGCAACACGCATGAAGAACACGCCCCAGGAAGAAACATCAAGACCATGCACTACCAACAGACATCGTGGACGCAAAGCAAGAACTGGTACCAACCACATGCGCTTAGAAACATACAGTTTGATGTACTGGAGTTCCTCGGTGGGGTCACTCGGAGCAGGGCAGTTGTACAGCGTCGGGCCTGACCACCCGACCCCTCTTCCCAGGAACTTGTTTCGATTTGAGGCTGGTATCTATTGGCCCAGCGGCCCAGAACAAGCCTCCAGAGGCCGAACTTGTTAAAATATCAGAAGGCACTATCGCCTCGTGATGTGGGTGGTTTGTGTGCTCGCCCGCAAAACCGACCCCCAGACCTGTCATGCGGAGATGCGTCCTGGCCCGCATTTCGAGACGGACCCGTCGGTGCCGACGAGCGCACCCTCCAGAATTTTTGTCAGATGGTTCAAAATGTTCAACTTCCTCGATCGTCGAGCCTCCCCAGTTCTCCGTCGTCGCGGTCTCTTCAGGGGTGGCCCCCCCGGACTTCTCGACCCCTTCCCCGTGGCCGGGCTCCCTCGTTCCAGACCGCCTGAAGACGGCGTGGGGGCCCGAAAGTTGGCCCGAAGGCGCCGAAGGTTGTGAAGAACTATCGCGGTCTGTGCCAGAGCGGTTGCCCTTTTTCAATGTCGATTGCACGTAAGAATGACCCTTCGCCAGAGTGACCTTTGGTGCTGGCCAATTGGGGTCCCCAGATCGCTGAACGGGGCGCGATAGCAGCGGCTTGCGCGCCTAGGTTTGGCCACCCGGCGTCCCCCGTTAAGCCGCGCACCAGGGGCCATGTTGCTGACGGTCACCCCTACGTGTAGCTTAGGGGGCCACATGCGAACCTTACCCCTACCCCCCACGATTTCTGAGGGGGAGGGCGGGGTTCACATGTGGCCTCACCCTCACCCTCAGAAATCGAGGGGGGTAGGGGTAGGCTTCGCATGTGGCCCCCTACGGCTGACAATGGGGCTGCACGAGGGCTCGAAGATAACCGCGCATCGCGGGGCGCGATGCGCGAAGCTAGACGACCTAGAAAATCATTGCCTTGATTGTCCTAAGACGTTCGCTGGCGGTATTCGCAGGCGAGTTTTCGTCCCCCCATAGACCCCGAGTTCCCTTCTAAAGAATTGGCCGCTCAGAGAAGAAGGGGAACTTGCGGATGAACCCCTGGGGGGCCATGCAAGCGCATCCTTGTCGAGGAGGAGCTCTTCACGTCGCGCATCTCACAAAAAGTTGAGGGTTGGTGTCGCCATACCCCCTCATTAGTTTAAATGCAATTCCCGTGAGGATAAATCCACCATCGGTGTTGGTATGTCGGTGGTCGAAAACTGGCCCAACCCGGCATCATCCAGATTAATTCCGATTCACCCCGCCCAGTTTGGATTCATCGGGCTTACTATTGGGCCAGATCACGGCGAGTCCAGTTTCATGGACCCTTGATTCTTTAATATGGCTTAATAGTCCTTGATCTTCCTGGCGAGGCTTACCAGGAGTCAGGCCTCGAACGAAACTGTGGACTCGCGTTTTCGTGAACAATGTTCATTGCGCTACCGTTTTGCAGCAACGGCGGAGCGAAGACAGAGCAAGGGAAAACGAAAACAACGCGAAAACGGAAAACACTGTTTGACTCGAGTTTTGCCAGGAGTTGTTTTTTGACCGCAAGGCGCAGGCTCTCGCCGCAGGACGCGAGTCCCCAGCGCGCGTGCGCGCTCGCCGTTCTGGGAGGCCGCCGCGAGCTCGCGGGCGGTGCTGTCGGAGCACAGGGTCTCCAAGATCGTCTTCTGCCAGGACGAGGGCGAGGGCAGGCGCTGGCGGCGGGCCCTCAGATCCTCCTCCTCGTCCATCCTCCTCCTTTCCCTCTTCATTCTCCTCCTCCTCCTCATCCACCTCCTCCTCCTCCTCGGGCCCAATCGTCACCACAAGCCACGAGCCCCTTGCATGTGCTGGCTAGCCACGCTGCCCGACTGGCGTGTCCTGCAGACGTGCGGCAGCTCTGACAGCTAAACTTGTCGCCGTACAGCGCGTGCGTGGAGCTGAAGGCGGTGTTCATGCCGATGGAGGGCGGGGCCACGCGTCGGCCAGGACGGCGACGGGGGCGACCTCGGGCCTCAGCGGCTGACGTGGCGTCCCTGGTGGCTCGCAGTAGCCGCAAGCAGGCATGCGTCATCCTGTGCCCCGACGACGACGACGGGCATTTCGCCGAGCGCGACGTCGACGACGATGGCACCCTGGACGTCTTCCAGGTGCCGCGCAGGCGAGGAGCCAGGCGGAGCCCCCTGGAGCCCGCGCGGCAGGCCGCTGGCAGGTCGTCGCGCCGTCGTGACGAACGGGACGGTGACGATGCTCAAGATTCCGAGCAGAGTCCTGGCGTCAGTTTGCAAAGCCCTGGCGTGCCAATGCGGCTACCAGGCTCCGTCGCCACGGGCGTCAGATCGCAAAGTCTTGGTGTGCCATTGCGGCTACCAGGCTCGTCGTCGCCACGTGAGCCCAAGCCCGGTAGCGTGGGCGGGGTCCGATCACCACGAGGGGCGGCGCGATGGCCAGGGGGGGCGGGGACCGGTTCTGGGAGCACACCAAGGCCCCCCCCCCCCGAGGCAGGCACAGCCACGCGACCTGTCCATGGACGAGGACGAGCCTAAGGACGAGAAGGGCGAGCACCTCTACGACGACGGGGGGGCCATCTGTCAGCGCAGGCTTGGCATGGGTGGCGACGGCTGCGACATGGAGCCCGACACCGTGCTCGACGCCGAGCTGGAGGACTTCGAGGCGCTGGACCTCCTCCTGGCGAGCCCCTCGGAGGCCCTCGTGGACGAGGACGACATTGAGCTGGACACAGTGGGCATCACGAGCTGCACCGCGGCCTTCACGCGCTGCCCTGTGGCCGAGAGCCGAGGCGCTGCTGGCGGGACTGCTGCAGGATTGCTGGCACGGCTGGCGTGGGGCGTTGCAACGAGACCATGGGTACCCAGCAAGACGGGTCGACGGCTACGGAGGGTGGGCTGGCGACGGCCGCCCTCAATGGCACTGCTCGCCCGAGGAGCGGTGCGCCTTCTCTAGCTACGGGAACCCCGTCCGCTGCTGGGCCCACTGCGCTGAGCAGTGCCCCGCTTGGGAAGTGGCCGAGTATCGACGAGGCCAGCTCGGTTGCAAGGCGTGCCCACATCATGAGCTCGCTGATCACGGCAGCCACCGTGGGGCTCAGGGCGGACCCCGACGTCGAGCCCGACTCCGTGCCCGACCCCGTGGCCGACGTCATACCCGACGCCGAGCTGGAGCAGTTGGGGCAGCTGGAACGGAGCCAAGATGGCGCTGGCAGCGATCAGGCCAGTGGAGCTCAGCAAGACGGGTCGACGGCTTCGGAGGGTGGGCTTGCCATGGCTGCCCTTACTGACACTGCTCGCCCAAGGAGCGGTGCGCCTTCCCGAGCTACGGTACCCCTGTCCGCTGCTGGGCCCACTGCGCTGTGGCAGCTGCAGTGCACGATGAAGGATGACGATGCTGTTCTTCCTGGTCCGCTCGACGAGGTGCCTCGGCGACGCGACGATGGTGGAGGCGGCGCAGAGGGAAGACCCGCCTGCAGGCCCCCCGCGGCATTGCGGGCGGCACGGCTGGGGGGCGGCGCCGCGGCCCACGTCCGCACGGGACGTCGTGGCCGCCTGCGCAGCCGCCGCAGCTGCCCCACCCGCCTCCGACGCCGCTCGCCATGTCCTTTGCCTTTGGCGAGCTGGCGCGGCGGGCCGCGGGGCCTCCGCCGGCCTGCCGCAGGCAGCGCGGCTGAGGCGGCCAGGCCAGGTTGCCCGCGGGGCGGGCCGCTGGCCAGGCCGGCGGCCGTGGTGCCTCACCACGGGTCGAGGGGCGAACCCACCACGTCCCCCCGTGGGTGGGGGCCTTCGGCCCTGCGCCGCGCAGAGGCGCGCCGCTTCGCCCGCGGGCGGTCCGCGGGCGGCTGAGGGCAGCAGGCGTGGCCGACGCACCCGTTCGCCTCTCGGTCTGCTCCATTCCACTCCTCCTCCTCGTCCTCCTCCTCCTCGTCCGCCTCCCCCATCCTTAGTCTGCTCCTCCTCCTCCTCCTCCTCCTCCTCCTCCTCATTATCATTATCATTATCATCATCATCATCATCATCATCATCATCATCATCATCATCATCATCATCATCATCATCATCATCATCAGCATCAGCATCAGCATCAGCATCAGCATCATCATCATCATCGTCGTCGTCATCATCATCATCATCATCATCATCATCATCATCATCATCATCATCATCCTGATTGTCCTCCTCCTCCTCTTCCTCCTCCTCCTCTTCCTCCTCCTCTTCCTGCTCCTCCTCCCCCATCCTCCTCCTCCTCCTGTCCATCCATCTGCTGCCGTAAGACGGCAGGCCTCGCGCGGGGGCGGCTGGTGCCTCAGCTCCGTAGTTCAACTTTGGGTGGTTTGCACAGCGGCTTGTTCCTCAGCTCAGTATTTCTTCTGATGGGCGCGTTGCACACGGAGAGCTGGTGCGCGAGCCCATTTCCTCCATTCGAGCTCGGTGGTTTGTTAGTGTTTGATCGGCGTCGCCGATTTCAACATGTTCATCGGTTTCCCCTCCCTCGTGACGCTGCACCTTGGCGTCACGCTGGGAGTGCTGGGCGTGCCCCTCCTCGGGTCGGCCTGCCCGATGAAGGTGCGCACGGGCCTGACGCAGGCCCCGTGCTTCCGTGCGCGGCCGATGCGGTCGCTTCCGACTGCGTTCACGGATACTTTCCCTTTGGGTCTGGACCCTTGCAGAGCGGTCGGTTTCGGGCCCCGCCCTCCTAGGTAAGGGCTCTGGGTGTAGGGGGTTTGTGGGCACCTCCGCCCGTTGAGAGGACGAACCTTGCTGCCTCTCGGGTTCTGCCCGCTCGCTCGCCTCCTCCTCCCCTTCTCCATCCTCCTTCCATCTCCAGCCTCCCCCTCTTCCCCCCTGCTCCTCCTCCTCCTTCTCGTCCTCCTCCTCCTCCTTCTCCTCCTCCTCCCTCTTTTTTTCATTCCCCTCCTCCTTCCCCTCCTCCTCCTCCTCCTCCTCCTGCTCCCCGATCTCCTTCTGGAGGCCTCCCACATGGGGTCAAAGGATCGCGCGGCATCGCCACTGCACTGGCGATGCGATTTGACATGGAGCCCGATTCCCTCCACGCCGACGGTACCGATACATTGGTAATCCGGCGCGATCCTCCGACCCCGTGTATTCGGACCCCATGTGGGAGGCGTCCAGATCCAGGCGGCGCAACGAAAACCTTGAGACTCTGGCTTTGCATTTTTTCCATGCTGGGTGTTTTCGCCCGGATTCGAGAACCGGGTCGATCTGGTTCGGGAGAGATGCCGCAGAAAGACGGGGTCTAGTTAGGGTTTCGGTTGTCATTTTTCATTTCTGCTCGCGGCGTCGGTTGTCGGCAAACTCGCGGCGGCAAGCTGTTTGACGTCTCCGGCCTCTGGAAGCGTTTTCCCGGCCTCGGGACTCTCAGAAAACGATCTGGGATGGAATGCCGGTCTTGGGGAGCGGGTCGAAGTTCCCAGGTGGGCCACGCAACGAAAAGAGATGTGACGTTGGAGGAAAGAGACGACCCCACACGTTGTTCCCCAGGTAGCCGTTACACTACGCAAGGGGTCCTTATCTTGGGTTGCCAGGCATCCGGCTGCGCTGGCGGTTTCTGCGGGGTTTCCGGCCGGGTCTCGCTTGTGGACACCTTTCAACCGCCTTGTGCGTTGGTTGACGTTTTCACCATTTTGATTGCACTGCACTTGCATCGTATAGCTAGCACCCGATATGTTGCACCGCATCGCTTGCAGCCCATAGGTTGCTATACACCAGTTAGTTTAGTTTAAAAGAGTCGGCTCGTGCCTCCCTGCCGAGCTCGCATCTCCCCTCCGCGCATGTTGTTCTCACATTGACTCTGCACGAGCGGTCATTTTGAATGTCAAATAATACAGTGCCAGCAGCTAACGTGCTATCGTTTCCCCCGTCCTTGCCCTGACGAGTGGGGCTAAGCGATGCACACGCGTTGCGTGTTGACCTAACAAGTGGGTTCTATGTTGACTCTGCACGTCTTTGGGCCCCGTCTGTGCGCCACCCACTGGGTGCTTGTTGCTGCACGCAAGCCTGCTTTTGGGCTGCGTCCCCTCCTGCAACGCCTTGTGGCCGTTCATGTTTGGCCGCGTCCCGCTCTTGCGTTCGATGAAGTTCCGCCACCTTGCCGAAGGAGGAAACAAGAGTGTCTCTGTGCCTGTGCGCGTTTTGCGTGTGTTTCTAAGCACCCCTGCATGGACTGCACGTGTCAGGCTTCGCCTGCACACCAATTGAGTTTGGCGGTTTTCCCTGCGCGCCCGCTCGCCTCCCGCAGCGCACCACCTGCAACGTCTGGTCGAAGTTACGGTAGCGCGTGCCCCGTGCTATGATTTACTACGGTGACGTCACCTGGCCAGCGGAGGAAAAGTGTGTGGTTGTGTGTGTGTGTGTGGGTGGGGGGTCGGGTGGTCATTGCATGTGTGCTACTGCTGGCCCCCCGCTCCTCCGTCTCTCCCTGCCTCCTCGGTCGTGCTGGCTATTGGTGTTCGCCTCGCCGTTCCTGATTACCGGTTCCTGCGCCGCCTATGTGTTCTGCCTGTGTGCCCACCTACGTGTGGTCCGCAGATGTTTTTAGAATTGCCGCGCAGTTCCACAAGGAAATTGCTTTGCTTTGAGGGTGGCCCCCCACCGTGCATCCGCTGGTTGGACTCGCTGGCGCGTCACAGGGAAAAGTGCGTGCGCGCGTGCGTGCAACGCGTGCGTGTGCGTGAGGGAGAGAGTGTGTGTGTGTGCGTGTGTGTGTGTGTGTAAGTGTGTGTGTGTGTGTGCGTGTGTGTGTGTGTGTGTGTTGCAAGCGTGTTTGCGTGCGTGCGTGCGTGCGTGCTTGCGTGCGCGCGTGCGTGCGCGCGCGCGCGCGTGTGTGTGTGTGTGTGTGTGTGTGTGTGTCTGTGTCTGTGTCTGTGTCTGTGTCTGTGTCTGTGTCTGTGTCTGTGTCTGTGTCTGTGTCTGTGTCTGTGTCTGTGTGCGTGCGTGCGTGCATGCGCGCGTGCGTGCAAGCGTGCGCGCGTGCGTGCGTGCGTGCGTGTGTGCGTGAGTGTGTGTGTGTGCGTGTGTGCGCGCGTGTGTGTGTGTGTGTCGGTGTGTGGTGTGTGTGTGTCGTCTGTCTGTCTGTCTGTCTGTCTGTCTGTCTGTCTGTCTGTCTGTCTGTCTGTCTGACTGTCTGGCTGGCTGGCTGGCTGGCTGGCTGGCTGGCTGGCTGGCTGGCTGGCTGTCTGTCTGTCTGTCTGTCTGTCTGTCTGTCTGTCTGTCTGTCTGTCTGTCTGTCTGTCTGTCTGTCTGTCTGTCTGTCTATGTGTGTGTGCGTGCGTGTGTGTGTGTGTTTGTGTGTTTGTTCGTGTGTTTGTGTGTATGTTTCTCTGTGTGTTTGTGTGTGTGTGTGTGTGCGCGAGTGCTCTTCCCCTGCTGCAGCTGCCTCTTGTCCACTCCATTAGTTTCCCACATCTTCACTCTGTCCACCGCCTAGTTTCTCGACCCAGGGTCGCCACTGCACGCATCTGGGAGTATCGCTTGATCACGCTGCTTCACAAGGGCGTTCATTATTTGCTCACTCGTCCACTAGCGCTGCCCGCCGATTGGGACGCTTTGGTGCGTCGGGGGCACTATTCTGGCAAAGGACTTAACCATATCATTTGTAAGTACCGCTCTTGTGAGTATCGCCTCCAGTGGAGCGCCTCATGGGGCCGACATCTGCCTGGGGCGCATGCGGGCCCTGCCACTGGGGCATTCGGTGGAGCTCCATATGGGGCACGAAGCGTGTGAGTTGTGTGCCAAACTGGGCCTGGGGACGCGTGCGTGCTGTATCCCTGCGGCCTTCGGTGGAGCTCCATGTGGGGCCACGAAGCGAGTGATGGGTGTACCGAAATGGGTAGGAACCGCATGCGAGACCCCCACCCTGAGGCCTTCGGTGGAGCTACCTATTGGGCCACGAAGCGTGTGAGGGGTGTGCCGACACGGATGAGATGCGCACGCGAAACTTTCCACGTGAGGGCTTCGGTGGAGCTCCCTATGGGGCCACGGACCGTGTGAAGAGTGTGCCGCAATGGATGACAATCGCATGGGACCAACCCCTCCTGGGGGCTCGGTGGAGGTCCTTGTGGAGCCACTAAACGTGAGAGGGTGGTGCCGAACTGCGTGGAAACAGCATGCCGAATCTACCACCATGAGGGCTTCGGTGGAGATCGATGTGCGGCCACGAAACGTGTGGATGGTGTGCCGACATGGGTGGGAACCGCATGCGCCCCCCCGCCCCCCTGAGTGCTTCAGTGGAGCTCACGATTGGGCCACGAAACGTATGAGGGGTGTATAAGTGAGAGCCGCATGAGAAACCCCCCTCCTGGGGGCTTAGGTGGGACTCGGTGTGAGGGGTGTGCCGAAACGGGTGAGAACAGCACGCGACCACCCCCTCCCGAGTGCTTCAGTGGAGCTCCCTATGGGGCCACGAAACCTGTGAGGGGTGTGGCGACATGTGCATGCGGACGGCAGGGAAAGGGATGAGAGGAGAGAGCAGGGGTAAGCGGAAGGAAGGAAGAAAAGAAGAAAGGACGAAGCGGACGCGGGGCGTTGTCCCTTGAAAACGAGGACCAAGCACCACAGGATGGTTGGGAAAAAGTGTGCGTGCGCGCGCGTGTATGTGATTGCGGGGGAGTGTGCGTGTGCGCGTGCGTGCGTGCATGTGCGGTTGTGAATGTGTGCGTTTGCGTGCGTGCGTGCGTTTGTGTAGCGTCTCCTGGCACAGAAGCGGGGCATTGCCAGCCCGTCCGCCGCCAGGTGCCACTTCGAGGGGCTGCCGGGGCTCCAAGGGAGGGAACATTCCAAAGGGGGGTGGAGTGGGGGTCGGAAGTGGAGGAGGAGGAGGAGGAGGAAGAGGAGGAGGAGGAGGAGGAGGAGGAGGAGGAGCAGGAGGAGGGAGGAGGGGCGTCGTTGGCGCTTTAGGGAGGAGGGGGAAGGTGGGTCGGAGGTGGAAGAGGAGGAGGAGGAGCTGGAGGAGGATGAGGAGGAGGAGGAGGAGAGGGAGGAGGGGAGGAGGAGTGGCAGGAGGAGGAAGAGGAGGAGGAGGAAGAGGAGGAGGAGGGGAGAGGGAGAGGGAGAGGGGAAGGACGAAGAAAAGGAGGAAGAGGAGGAGGAGGAGGAGGAGGAGGAGGAGCTCGATATGCTTGAGGAGGATGCTGTTTCCTAGGTGTTTCGAGGATTCTGACGGCCTCCCAAGTTCTCAGCAGACGGGAGGAGGAGGAGGAGGAGGAGGAGGAGGAGGAGGAGGAGGAGGAGGAGGAGGACGAGGTGGGGCAGGGAAGAGGGACGGGGAGGTGTGAACGAGGAGGAAGGGCAGGAGGAGGACGAGGAGTGAGAGCAGGACGCTGCATTCTTCGCTCTCTGGTCGTCGTCTTTGTCCGTAGGGGGAGGGGGGGTCGGAGGAGGAGAAGAAGGAGAAGGGGCAGCGGCGGCGACGACTCGGTCGACTTCGACGCCGTTGACTTCGATGTCGACGTCCGGTCCTGGGCCCCTGGGGGGTCCACCAGGCGCAGTGTTTCGTCTTGGGAGCTGAGCAGTTTTCCATCCAGAGCCGAGAGCGGTCAAAAGGTGAACCGGGAAATGTGGCCGCCAACCAAGAAATTCGTCGGCGAACGAGGGATTCATTCGGAGGCGATCGGGAATTCTTCGCGGGGCAAACGGGGAAACATTCAGGGGCCTAAAGAGGTTTTTTGGTCGAGCGCTCGCACTTAAAAAGGTTTTCCCAATACAGTACAGCGCTTCATGGCCCCACAGGGAGCTCCACCGACGGCCCCAGAGTGAGCCTCCACCGAAGGCCCCAGAGGGCGATTTCGCATGCGGTTTCCGCCAGTATACAGCGCTTCGTGGCCCTAGGGGCTCCACCGAAGGCCCCAGAGGGAGCGTTCGCACGGGGTTCACCCACCCAGTACGGCGCTTCGTGGCCCCATAGGGAGCTCCACCGAAGGCCCCATAGGGAGCGTTCGCGTGCGGTTCCGCCGCCCAGTACATCGCTTCGTGGCCCCATAGTGGGCTCCACCGAAAGCTCGGGGGGTGGCGGTCGCACGCGTCCCCCCCACCCAGTACAGCGTTGCGTGGCCCTACAGGAGCTCAGCCGAAGGCCGCACAGGCGACGTTCGCAGGTTGCCCCATAGGCGGCTTCACCGAAGGCCCTTGCGGCAGCGTCCACATGCGGTTCTCCACATATGGAGCTCCACCGAAGGCCCCGGTGGCAGGGTCCACATGGGGTTCTCCACCTGTTTCGGCACACCCCTCACGTTTCGTGGCCCCATTAGGGGCTCCACCGAAGGCCCTTGCGGCAGCGTCCACATGCGGTTCTCAACCCCTTTCGGCACACCCCTCACACGCGTTGTGGCCCCATATAGGGATCCACCGAAGGCCCCAGAGGCAGGGTCCACATACGGTCCCCCGCCCATTTCGGCACGATCCTCACTTGCTTCTTGGCCCCATAGGGAGCTCTATCGAACCACCGGAAGCGGTGCCCACAACGCGGCATTCACAACTGCATGTTGGTTGGGCCGTTCGCCAGGAAATGTCTCTCCGCGGCGCCCGTGGGTCCTGTCTCCTCCTCCTCGTCCATCGTGATCTGTCTGTCCAGCATGTGGGCCCGCCAGAGTATCGTGGCTTCTTCCCAGGGAGGGGCTTACCATCCTGAGTCATTTCCACTCAGTGTTTGCACTTCGGGGTTCTGGCTTCTCTCACTGAGGAATTGGGTGGGTCTGGAGAGGGTTCGCCCCGTGGCCACCTCGTTACCGCCTCGTTCGCTGGGTAGTGCTGGCGAGGTTTCGCCACGTGTCCGCGTGTTGCCGCTTCGTTGAAGCCTTTAGCTTGCACTACGTATACTGGATGACATAGCTGTCACCACATAGTTTGCACCACGAAGCCTGCACATCAATCGTGCAATCACATACTGCTCGGGGTCCAAACTGGCTAACACTGATTGACCGTCCCAGGGACGACCAGGGACTGGGGCCCCCAGCGGCCGCAGCATGATGGCCCCTGTGATCTCGGCCGTGCTCCAGTCGCGGCTCGGGGGAGGTACGCCGAGTCTGGGCCCCTCCCGCCCCCCGCCCCCACCCACCCACCCACCCACCCACCCCACCCACCCTCCTCCTCCTCATCCTCCTCCTCCTCCTCCTCCTCCTCGCCATCCTCTCTCTCCTCCTCCTCGCTATCTTCCTCCTCCTCCTCCTCCCTCCTCCTCGCCATCCTCGCCCTCCCGCCCCCCGCTCCCCCCCTCCACCCGCTCCCTCGGACGGGGCAGGTTCGAGTACCTGCGCTACCGCATCGGCAGGCACCGGTCCGACCCGCGCTCCAAGTCGGAGAGCCGCGCCCTTCGCCCGCCCGACGAGGCGAGAGGCACGAGGAGGAGGAGGAGGAGGAGGAGGAGGAGGAGCACAGGAGGAGGAGGAGGAGGACGAAGAAGAGAAGGGGGGATGAGGAGGAGGAGGAGGAGGAGGAGGAGGAGGAGGAGGAGGAGGAGGAAGAAGAGAAGGGGGAGGAGGAGAAGGAGGAGGAGGAGGAGGAGGAGGAGGAGGAGGAGGAGGAGCAGCACCTAGCATTCGGGTGGGTTTGTTGTCGAGACCCGCCGTTTTTCCGAAGCTTCGGCCGCCTGCGTGGGCGTTTCGGGTACTGGGGCCATTCACAGATTCTCCAGGCCCTTGGATGGAACAGGTCAATCCGTGGGAAGCGTGGGCAGGAGGACGGGGCGAGCGGACTTCAACGTTCTTCGCCTTCCTCGGCCTTCCTGGGGCCCCCTCCACGGCACGGCTGGTCGGAGGGGTGTTGAGCGGGCGGAAGTGGAAGGAGGACGAGGAGGCGCAGGAGCAGACGGAGCGGGCGGGGAGGGGTGAGAATGAGGAGGACAGGGAAGATTGCGAAAGGTTGGACAGGGAGGAAGAGAAGAGGGGAAGGAGGTGGAGGGTAAGGATTGGGGAAGTTGAAGGAGGGGCACACGGAGAAGGCGGGGTAGGGTGAGAATAAGGAGGAAAGGGGCGACGGCAAGAATTTGGACAGGGAGGAAGTGAAGGAGGGGGAGGAGAGGGAGATGGGAGAAGTGGGAGGGGGAGGAGGAGGAGGAGGAGGAGGAGGAGGAGGAGGAGGAGGAGGAGGAGGAGGTGGAGGAGGAGCACAGGAGGAGGAGGAGGGGAGTGGAAAAGAAGGAGGATGAGGAGAAGGAGAGGAGGAGGAGGAGGAGGAGGAGGAAGAGGAGGAGGAGGAGGAGGAGGACAGGAGGACAGGAGCAGGAGGTTGGGAAGGGCGTGGTGGCGCACGAGGTGGAGGGGGAGGAGGGAGTTTGGGGGGGCAGCGGGAGAAGGGGGGAGAGTGAGGAAGGAACAGAGGAAGAAGGGGGTATCAGGGGGAGGAGGGGGATCAGGGGGATGAGGGGCAGGGGGAGGATGATGACGGGGAGAAGGACGAGTTTTGTCAGAGCTCGCAGCTCCTCTCAACCAAAACAGTACGCAGGACGGAGGAGGACGAGGGAGACGAGGAGGAGGAGGAGGAGGAGGAGGAGGAGGAGAAGGAGAAGGAGGAGGAGGAGGAGGAGGATGGGGAGAGGAGAGGAGGGAGAAGGAGAGGAGGAGGAGGAGGAGGAGGAGGAGGAGGGAGAAGAAGGAGGATGAGGGGGAGGAGTGGGATAGGGATGAGAAGGAGAGGGATGGTGGGGAGCGGAGGGAGGGCGCATGGGTAAGAACAGGGGGGAAAGAGTGTGGATGAGACAGAGGCAGGGAGCACGAGGAGCAGGGAGGATGGAGGAGGGGGGAGGAAGATGGGATGAGGCTTGGGATGGGGAGGCGGAAGGAGGAGGAGGGAGACGGGGAGGAGGTAGGTGTGGCGAGGGCGGAGGAGGAGGGAGGAAAGGGGGGAGGGGAGGGAGGAGGGGGAGTGGGGAGACGGGGAGGAGGCGTCGGATGGAGAGGGGAGGGAGGAGGAGGGAAGGTGGACGGAGCAGGAGACGAAGGGGGAGGGGCAGCAAAGTAATTTCGACGACGACGACGACGGGCAGCAGATCTATGCATGCACATCCACAGCTGCGTTGTGCAGCTTGCAGGGCGGATGCCATCAAAGATGGGGTCCCAGCCCATGCGCCGTGCACGTGCCCATGGGCTGCCACACCACAGCCTACGGCTTGGCCTGACCTGACCTGACGGAGGATGGCGAGAGGAATGGGTAAGAGGAGGATCAGGGGGGTGGAGGGCTTCGTATAGTCGTGATGACGAATTGCGCCTCCGCTCGTGCTGGCGCAGCCAGGGAGCATACATGTGGTGCGTTGTTTTGCTCCGTCGGAAACATCGTGTTGTGATGACGCGGGGGATGAGGAGGAGCGATGAGAGCTGAGGCGGGCGAGGGGAATGAGAGCGGGAGGTGGGGGGGCGGGGGAGAGGGGAGGGAGTTGTGCCAATCGAGGTGCGCTCGTGCCGCATCTAACATCTTACCCCTCCCTCGTACCCCTTTCCTCAGCTCTGAGTTTTCCTCAACCCACGGGCGCGTGTCATCGCCGACAGCCGACCTGCGACTCCCCCAAACGACCCATCGTGCGATGCGCAATTGGAAACGGGGGAGTTGCGTACAGGGCGGGAGGAGGAGGAGGAGGAGGAGGAGGAGGAGGAGGAGGAGAAGGTGGAGGTGGCGGGTGAGCAGGAGGATGAGCAGGAGGAGCAAGACGAGGACAAGGAAGAGGATGTGGAAGGAGGAAGACGAAACGAGCAGGAGCAGCAGCAGGAGCTGTGTTGGAAGGAGCGGGAGGAGCAGGAGGAGCCGGAAAAGGCGGAGGGGGGGGAATGAGAGTAGTGACAACGATGATCATTAGCCTGGCGAAGGGCCCAACCATATCCAGATGTTAATATGTCGGTATTGTCATCGGTGGAGCTCCCTATGGGGCACGAAGCGTGTGAGGGGCGTGCCAAAACGGGTGCGGCGGGCGCATGCGAACGCATGCTCCGGGGCCTTGGGTGGAGCCACCCCCCCCTATGGGCCACGAAGCGTGCAAGGGGTGTGCCGAAACGAGGGTGTCGCCCACATGCGGGCGGCGCCACTGGGGCCTTCGGTGGAGCTCCTTATGGGGCGACGAAACGTGTGAGTGCTGTACCGAAACCAGTGTGTCGCCCACATGCGGGCGGCGCCACTGGGGCCTTCGGTGGAGCTCCCTATGGGGCCACGAAACGTGTGAGGGGCGTGCGGAAACGGGGGTGTCGCCCACATGCTGGCGGCGCCACTGTGGCCTTCGGTGGAGCTTTCTATGGGGCAACGAAACGTTTGAGGGGGGTGCCGAAACGAGGGCGTCGCCCACATGCGGGCGGCGTCGGGGCCTTTGGTGATGATGACGGTCATGATGGTGATGTTGACGGCCATGATGCTGATGTTGATGATGATAACCGTACTGGCAACACTCATAAGTATGATATGGATGATGCTGATGCTGAGACTGATGATGTTGACGGTGAAGATGATGATGGTGGTGATGCGAATTACGATGATGGTGATGATCATGATGCTGATGATGATGTTGATGCTGATGATGTCTACGTTGATGGTGATGCTGATGATAACAGTGATGATAATAACGATGCCGATGATGATGACGATGGCGATGCTGCTGCTGTTTGTGATGATAGTGGTGATGATTATGGTGATGGTGATGGTGATGGCGGTGCTGTGGGGCTGATGATGTTTAGGATGGTTATGGTGATACTGTTGATGATAATGCTGATGATGGTGATGACGATGTTTATGCCGATGACGATGCTGCTTATGATGGTTGTGATGTTGATGATGTTAATGATGTCGCTGGTGATGATGATTCTGGTACTGGTGATGGTGATGCTGATGATGATGATGATGGTGCTGATGGTGACGATGCTGATGATGATGATGATGATGATGGCGATGCTGATGATGATGATGATGATCATGCTGATGATGCTGATGAGCATGACGATGCTGATGCTGACGATGCTGACGATGCTGACAATGGTGATGATGATGATGATGATGATGATGATGATGATGATGATAATGATGATGACGATGATGATGATGATGGTGGTGGTGGTGGTGGTGGTCGTGGTGGTGGTGGTGATGATGATGATGTTGGCGGTGGTGGTGGTGGTGGTGATGATGATGATGATGATGATGATGATGATGATGACGGTGATGGTGATGGTGATGGTGATGGTGATGGGAGGAGGAGGGGGAGGGCGGGATGAGGTGACGCGGGGCGATATCTCTTCGAAACGAAGACCCAACACCACAGGATGGTTCGAAAATTAGCCTGTCGAAGATCCCAACAATATGCACTTGTGAGTACCGCAATTCTGAGTACCGTTTGAAGTGGAACTCCCTATGGGGCAACGGCCGCATGCGGGCTGTGCCGCTGGGGCCTTCGGTGGAGCTCCCCATGGAGCCACGAAACGTGTGAGGGGTGTGCCGAAACGCTGGTGTCGCCCAACTGCGGGCTGCACCACTGGGACCGTAGGTCTGTGGGGTCACGAAACGTCTGAGCGGTGTGCCGAATCGGGGCTGGCGCCCACATGCGGGTTGCGCCATTGGGGCCTCATGTGGAACTCCATATGGGGCCACGAAACAAAACTCAGATCCAGGAAAGTGGCCCTCGTTGGTGCGAGAGGGCCATTCTGATCGACGGGAGCAATGCGCCGATCCGAAAATGAGGCCCACGTTGCAGCGGGAGCACCCTTTTGAAACGCCGAACACAATCATATTGCAGAAACCACACGAACAATCAACTAGTGAAACCTTGCATGTTAGATTGCTGAGAAAACCCGCCACCTCCCTGATGGGGTTATGGGAGAGAGGAGAATCTGCATAATGTGTAGCTGTAGAGGAAGGAGGGGGAAAGGAGGCAGAGGGAGGAAAACAAGAGGAGCAGCAGCGGCGAGGAGGAGCAGCGATGGGGGAAGCATCCGGGCAGGTGGCATGTGGCGCTTCCAATGTCCTGGTGCCAAGAGGGTGCAGGCACAGCTGCACCCCACCCCAGGCAGCTGGCTTCGTTGGTCGGGTGCGGTAGGCTTGCGTCGTGTCGACTCGCGGCGACTCCTTCGCCAGCGTTCAACGTCAAATGCCGCCGGCTGCCCAGAGACGGTCGATGTTGATCGATCTGACGTTTCGGATATACGACCGATCCTTCACGGTTTAACGATCCCCGAGCGGTGTCAGGAACCCATGCCAGGGTCGACACGACACGAATTTGCTGTAGCTGTCTGAGGGCGAGGCGCCCCCCCGAGTAACAAGGAGCCGCTGGAGTACTTCAGGCCCCTCTTCGAGTTCGTGGAGCGACACCTTGGCGACCACGCGCCTCCCGCGACCGCATTCGCCCTCTCAGCCTTCAGAGGAGGTCGGCCTCGAGCCGGCGTCGTGGGTAGCTATTTGGGTCGTGGTCTTCTCGTTAGGGGAGGGAGTTAAGGAGGAGGAGGCGGCCGAGGGGGAGGGGGATGAGGAGGTCAGGGCCGAGGGGGGGAGTGAGATTGGGAGGAGGCTATGGTTGCACAAATCGTCGCAGCGGTGCCGCAGGGCTACAAGATGGAGAGGGCATTCTGGGCATGATTGCCCCCGAGGGGTGAAAATGCGGATGCTTAAACAGCCTCTGGTCAACCGAACTTGGGCGCGCCACGCACCCAGATCTCCGACGGTAGGATTTGTTCAATCCTGGCATGATCCGCGATCTCGGCCCCCGAGGGGCCGGCCATTGGGCCCCCGGACCATCAATCGGTGGCGAGCCCAGGGGGGAAGCGAGAAGGGGCCGCATAGTAAGGATGAGCATCTTTCCAAAGTTACCCGTGCAGCCTTCCCCTTCGACCCATCCTTGGCCGCTTCCGCTGGCCGCGCCCCGCTCGCAACGTGTCAGCATGGACTTCCAAGGCCCGTGCATCCTCATCGTGCGTCCGTATGATACGTGTTCACTGTACTCCCTCAGCCGCTCTGCCGCCCTGGCGCGCCCCGGCGCGGCGCAGGCGAGGGCAGCAACGTCCTCATCCACTGCCTGGCTGGCGCTCACCGCGCGGGCGCCGCCCCCGCCGGCCTGCCGGGGACGAGGCGGGGGAGGAGCAGCAGCAGTAGCAACAGCAGGAGGAGGAGGAGGAGGACCAGTGGAAACTCAAGAGTCATCAACGATGTTGGAATAAACCCTCCCTCCAAGCTCCCTTTTCTTAGGCCCCTACAACGGTTCATTCCCACTAAGGGAACTGCCTTGCTGGAAGGGAACCGTTTGAAGACCCTGAAGCATGCTAAAATGTTCTCTGGATTTCAACGCCACGGATCAACTATACTGCTGCGTCTTGACGATCTTGAACCGTGCCAGAACACCATTCCTGAGACTTCAACACAGCGAAACGACGTAACTGTTACACCCTCATAATCCTGAATCCTTCACAAACTCCGTTTTTGGTGCGCTGATCATGGGAATCCTTGAAACTCTGGCAACTGTTTAAAGCGAATGTGCGCGGCGCGAAGGCGAGAGCCACATTTTGAGAACCACCCGCCACCAATCCGTGAAACTCTTGCAAATATTTAAAACGAATGTGCGCGGCGCTAAGGCGAGAGCCACACATTGAAAACCACCCGCCCTCAATACGTGAAACATTAGAAAGGATGTGCGCGGCGTTAAGGCGAGAACCACATTTCGAACACCACCCACCCTCAATCCGTGAAGTTCTTGCAGATGTTCAAAACGAATGCGCGCTGCGCTAAGGCGAGAGCCAGATGTTGAAAACCACCCGCACGCAATCCGTGAAACTCTGGCAACTGCTTAAAGCGAATGTGCGCGGCGCTAGGGCGAGAGCCACATTTTGAGAACCACCCACCCTCAATCCGTGAAGCTCTTGCAAATTTCTGAAACGAATGTGCACGGCGCTAAGGCGAGAACCACATGTTGAAAACCACCCGCCCTAAATCCGTGAAGCTCTGGCAAAGTTGTAAGACGAATGTGCGCGGCGCTAGGGCGAGAGCCACATATTGAAAACCACCCGCCCTCAATCCGTGAAACTGTTTTTATCTTTCAAGCTTTAGGGTCATACATGGCGAGGAAGTCTCAGCCGAAACGCCTGGCCCGCCCTAAAAGCTGGCGTCGAGTTGCGACAGGGAAAAAGTTATTTATAAGGAGGAGGCATGGAGGAGGAGGAGGAGGAGGAGGAGGGGAGGGGAAGGAGGAGGAGGGGGAGCAGCACCAGGAGCAGGAGGAGGAGGAGGAGGAGGTGGAGGAGGAGGAGGAGTTTGAGGCGGTCGGGAGGGTGGAGGAGCAGCAGCAGCAGGAGGAGCACGAGTAGGACCAGCAGGAGGAGGAGGAGGAGGAGGAGGAGGCGGGAGGAGAAGGAGGAGTACGCAGGAGGAGGGGGAGGATGAGGAGGAGGAAGAGGAGGAGGAGGAGGATGAGGAGGAGTACGCATGAGGAGGAGGAGGAGGAGGAGGAAGAGGAGGAGTACGCAGGAGGAGGAAGAGGAGGAGGAGGAGGAGGAGGAATAGGAGGAGGAGGAGGAGGAGGAGGAGGAGGAGGAGGAGGAGGGTGAGCGAGGAGCGAGAGAGGAGGAGAAGGAGGGGAGGAGCGAGGATTGGTGACGGACGGACCCCTCTGCAATTTGTGTTTGTGTCAATGCTGTTGAAGTGCTCGAGGACCGAGCTATGCTCAAAGAGTGAGGGCCATTGCACCCTGCGCGGCCTACGTAGCTTCGAAACCACAGGCCTCCCCAGGATAAGCGGGCAGCGCTACGGGCGAGAGAAGGGGGGAAGCCAGCACAGGCAAAAGCAGAGGTAGAGTGAGTTTCAGAGCTGCCCTGGCCCGCTCCCCTAGACCGCGCGCCACGGCCTCCATCACACCCACGATGTGGCGGTGGCGGGCGCGGGTGAGGAGTAACGTTTGCTGTGGCGTTGCGCTCCTCTCTCGCATTAGGACTACTCTGTCGAGACGTCTGCACACTAAGCTGCGGGCAGGAAAATAAATGCGATTCTCGTCGTAACGCTCAATCCTCTGCGCACTCTCCGGGCCGGTACCTACTTCGTGCTGTGAATGTTCAGGCCGGTAGGCAGGATGTGTTCGAGATGAGATCTCGGCGCTACGCCGTGCTTGCGAACGGCTTCCAGCTGCTCGAGGCAATTGGCGATCAAGGTTGTCTGTGCGTTCACGTTTAGTTAGATATTCACGTCTGTCTCTTTGTGGGCGTTGCTGAGACTTTTACCAGCATGAAGACCTCCGACGCCGCGTTCAGGGACAGGAAGTCTGCGTGCTGCCGCATCTCGGCCAGGGCCTTGCTGTTGGCACGTCCCCCCGCCTCCCCCTCCTTGACCAGGCCGCCTGGACCAGGCCGTTCACGAGTCTGGCTACGCGTGCCAATGAGAACGTGCCGAGCTGGGCGATCTCGGCCTCGGACTTCCCTCGACGCCGCGAACCTTCTGGACCACCTCGACCCAGCCCTCGACCCGCTGACGGGCGAGCAGCACTGGTTTCAGACCAACCGCCGCGATGAGGGTGATCAGCGTTACGGTCCCTTGCTGCCGGGTGCGGGCTCCCAGGTTCAGCGGCAGCAGCTTCAGCACGACCGCAGGAGGAGGAGGAGGAGGAGGAGGAGGAGGAGGAGGAGCAGGAGCAGGAGCAGGAGCAGGAGCAGGAGCAGGAGCAGGAGCAGGAGCAGGAGCAGGAGGAGGAGGGTTTTGCTTTTCCCGCAGGGCTCCAGCTGCGAAGTGGTGGACGTGGTAAACCGCGCGACCACAGGCGGTGACAGACCGCAGCGAATCTCTGACCAGAAGGCGCCGGCTGCACTTCGCGGCCGCCCCGTGCCCTCTGCGGCCGGCCAGGGACTGCCGGCGTGGCCTGCCTGATGCACTTCCGGGACCTGGGCGCGGCTCGCGCGACGCAGGCGGGGGCGCCGCGCGGGGGTCTGCGGCCACGGGCCGACGCCGCCCGGACGGCCGGGGGCTCCCGTGAGCGAGGCAGCCCGATCGGGGCAGTCGTCGCCGACCTCGGCGCAGAAGCTGCACGCGCAGGGTCGCGCTCAAGCGCCCTGGCTTCCAATTCGGCGTGCCGCGCTCGCCGCCCGCGGAAGGTCGCCATGCCATCTCGCGTGAGACCCCTCGCTTTTCGTCGCTCACGTCAGGCTTCGGGCTGTGAGAGACCAGGGTCCGTGCAACCGGGGATCAGCCAGAGCGCCGGATCTTGCAGGATCCGGCAGAGCCAGGGTACCTTGTTCCGGGGTATTGCTAACGCGCAGGATCCTGCAGGATCTTGCAGGGTTTTGCACAGCCCGACTGACCAGGGTTTGGATTGACACAGGTCAGTAGATAGTAGATCCCCGGAGGCTGGGGGCTCACGTGCGCCAGGTTCGCGTCGTGTCGACCGGCGGTGACTCTGCCGCCGGCGTTCCACGTTGAACGCCGCCAGCGACCCAGAAGTTGTCGATGTTGGAGGATCTCGGACACGGCCGATCGTTCAAGGTGGAACGATCCACGCGGTATAACAAGCCAACGCCGAAGTCGGCATGACACGAGCTTGCCGTACAGTCAAAGCGCTGAAATTTGGAGCCGTCTTTGTGGGCTCTTTCATGGGAGCCTCAGAGGGCCCCCAATTCCCTTCGGGTTTGGCGGTTGCGTGCAGATGTCGTCGGATTTGGTCGATCTGGACGAAATCCGTACGACATCTGGACGTGAGGTCTAAGAGCGGGGGGCGAAATCTCAGCGAAATCCGGTCGAAATCACGTTTCTGATAAGGTCGCGGAGGTCCACAGGTTCCCAAAAAGGTTCTGGGGGCCTGAGGTGGCTCAGCACTGGTTCTGGCCAGCAGGAGGGGGAGCGAGGTTCGAGGTTCTCGGTTCGAGAAGGTTTGTTGCCCTGTTCGGCTTCCAGAGGCCGTTTTGGGACCCTGGGGCCGAAACGGATTTGGGGTGAAAAATTGCACCACATGGACCACGGGAGGGGTCCCGATCCCCCCTCCTGGACGACTTGGGGCCCCAACAAGTTCAGACCCCCCGGCCGCCTCGACGCTGAATTCAGGACCACTTCGGGCTCAGGAGTGGCTCTGGTCTTCGGGCCGTGCCTTGGATCTGGTTCGGGGACCCCGCTCGTGGCCGAGGCTCGCCGTGGCCAGAAGAGCCCCGTCGTTCCTTGTCTGGCGCTCCCTCTGGCAGCACGACGACTGCAACGGGGGCCAGCCCGTCTCTCCATCGGATGTCCGAGACCACCTCGCGTCGTGGATGGCTTCGGAGGCTGTCGTCCCGAGCAGCTGCGGGGGAGGCCCGAGCCAAGGCCCGAACTCAGGCCGTCGAGTCGGGGCTCACTTGACGCGGGTGAGGCGCTGTGGCGGGGGTCGGCCCGTTCCCCCTTGGCCGACCCGGCGTTCGGGCGCCACGTGGCGCCGAGCCCCCCGTCCCGCCCTCCGCGGGCCCTGGTTTGGGAGCTGCTGGGCGGCCGGCCCGAGGTTTCGCGACGTGGCCCTGACTGACCCAGGATGGCGCTGGCTCGGGTCAGCGCGGTCCCCGAGACGGTGGAGCAATCTTGGTTCCCTGGGTCCTCTCCATCCCCGGGGATGTGCAGGTAACCGCGCTTCTTGCGTCGCGGTCTGGGCCGCAGCGGCTGGTCTTCTCCGAGGGGGCGGCGCGAGAGCGAGAGGACAACCGCGCATCGCAGGGCGCGATGCGCGAAGCTGGGTTCGGGCCGGGCGACAGGGCAGGACAGGGAAAGGGTGGGGGCGGGGCGGGGGGGGGGGCGAAATTTGCTGCACGCAGTTGGTCTCGGCCGCGCCGCCAGGCCCAGCCCTCGGTGCATGGGCGCCTGCCGGCGCCAGGAGGCGCCAGGAAAACCAGCTACGGGAGCTGATTCTCGTTCTTACCCTTTGCTACCCTAACCTGCCCGTTCATCCCCCCCGCTACAGGTGACCCAGAGGCTCGATGATCCAGGTTTCTGGACGCTCTCGAGCCCGAATGGGTTGACTCTGGGGCAGTGCTTCACCAGAGAGCCACTTCGAGTTCTCGTCGCGCTGTCATTTCTCAGGTGTTGCTAGAAGTGCCCCTGGCCCGAGGTGCCCCCAGGCTTGCCGAGGAGGCCCCCACGGCCTCCAGAGCACCCCTCACGAGGCCCAGAGGGTCCCAGGGGCTCCAAAATGGAACGGGAAGCTGGGGGCACCTTGGGCCAGGGGCACCTTGGGGCAACCCCCGAATTTCCCCTAGCTTCCCTCCCTCCTCTCCCAACATTGCGCTGGGACAAAAGCAAGGTCTGTGGACGCTCTCGGCTCTGTTTCGGGCCCCGAAAGTCGGGGGCCCTCCCCGGGGCTGCCCATCGCCGCGTTTCCCCGTTTTCGTCGAGAGTCGGGTCGGGCCGCACGCCCTGGCAGGTCCTGGGCCGATGTGACGATGTCGCCATGGAGAACCAGGGGCCCTAAAGAGATCACGAGGGGAAACACACAGACACAAACAAATCGTCGACTCCAAGGAGAATACGGGAAGGGGAGGGGAAGACGAACGTCCAGAAAGTCCGGGAAACCACGGCGGAATCCTGGGATCAGTGTCTATTTATTTGTGTGTCCCTCGGCCTCTTTAAGAGAAGGGGCCCTGACGTTTTTTGTGTCACGCTCTCCTCCCTGGGCCCTGGGACAATCAGGAACGATTCGGGACGAACAGCCGGTCCTGGGGAAAGCCTCGGGGTCAGGACCTTCGTTCCTCAGAGAACGAATTTCCTCCGCGACATCTCGAGGACGACTGCTCGTATCACTCTCGTGTCGCTCAGCGGCGGAAGTTGTAGGCCTTTTTCCGTCGTCTTTTCAGGGGCATTGTTAGGGGGTCAGGCTCAGGGGGGGCGCACCGCCCCCCAATCGCCCATTGATCGCCGACAGGGGCCCGATAGCCCGCTCCGACCACGAACGTACGGATTCGCTATCGGGGGCCCCGTCGCCGATCACTCGGCGATATATATCGCATATTCAAGCTCGATACTCGCCCCCCATGAGCTGGTCCCCCTCCCTACCAATGCCCTTCAGGGACGCGCCAGCCTCTCGCTCTCATCGTGGAGGCGCGCATCAAGAAACCAGAAGCTTTTCGTCAGGGTACCCTGGATTGTTTCGCTCCTCGCGCTACGCGGTGACTTCCCGCGTTCGTTGAAGAAGCTGCTGCGTTCAGGGTGCTCTGGGCTCCCCCCCACTCGCACCTCTCGCGCGGGTCTTCAGGGCTGGGTTTCCAGCGAGTGTTTCTTGCGGCCGCGTGCGCATTGCATTTTTGGGGGCCCGTGGGGGCCAGAGCCTCACGGGCTTCCTGCGCTCGTTTCCTCCGAGAGCGGCTGGCGTCCAGAGGTCAACTCTTCCTGCGCCCAGGCGTGCCCCAAAGGCCTCGATGTCTGCCATGCCGTTCTCCGAGGTGCGGCTCTTCCCCCTTGCGATTTTGCAGCCAGGAACTTTGGTTCAGCGTGTCGCTCCGCAGGAGGGGAAAATCGGCACAGATCAACAATCTCTGATTCCCCTGAAAGTGTTGGAACAATATGGGAAGTGAGAGGGAAGACGGGAAGACAAACAGTTAGACGTTATTGAAAACATAGGTAATCCTAGGAGTTGTGCCTATTTATTTGTGTGTCCCTGGCCCCTCGAGCGATTTTCCGGCCAGGAACCCCGCGGCAGAAGCAGCAGTCATCCAAGGCAGGGGTGTTGCAGGGGTGTTGTGGAGCCATCGCCGCGCACTTGCTGTGTTTACATGCCGCTGCCATTTCTGTGCGAGTCCTGTTGCGCCCCAGCAGGGGTAAACGTTTGCCCGCGTACTGAAAAAGGCACGGGCTTCAGAGCGCCAAGCGAGTCCAGTGGACGAGGAGGGCGTGTGCAGTCCTGCCGCAGCAGCCCCAGAAGCAGCGCCCAGAGTCTATCCCCGAGGGTGCGTGGCTCCAGGGCCGCCCGCACCAGACTGCAAGGGAGGTGGTGGCCTTCGCTTACACACCATCCTAAGAGTTGGAAGCAGATCGACAGGGGACACCACCCGCAGAGGACAGGCGTTGCAGTCGACCTGGCAGTGTACTGCCCCATTTCGCTGGGGTCATTCTGGTCCATTGGCCGTGGATGCTGGCAGGGGGAGCGGGAGGGGAGGGTGAGACGAGAAGGGTCAGGGGAGAGAGACGAGGTGGAGCGGCGGGATGTCAGGGGACGGGGAGGGAACAGGGCCATGGCCAAGCTAGGAGGTGGGCGCGCTCGCGCCACTTCTGATATCCTGTTGAATCCTCTCCCGCCCGCCGACGGGTGTCCCAGAAGATCGTGGTCCCCAGATTGCATTTGCAGGGTGTGATCCACCGCGTGTCGTGCAGTTTCGCAGAAAGTGTTGTACAGTGGAGAAGGGGGTTTGAAGCGAGAAGAGGAGGAGCAGGAGCAGGAGCAGGAGCAGGAGCAGGAGCAGGAGCTGGAAGAGGAGCTGGGGGAGGAGGAGGAGGAGGAGGAGGAGGAGGAGGAGGAGGAGGAGGAGGAGGAGGAGGAGGAGGAGGAGGAGGAATGGGAGGGAAAAGGAGTGGCACGGCAAGGACGAGGAAGGAATCGGATCCAGAAATGTGGCCCACGCGGAGCGCAATTTCGAATCGAGCGCGCGACGAGGGATTGTACATTATCGTGCGGAACCTGAAATGTGGGTAACGCAGCAGCGGCAGCACCTTTTGCACCGATGATCGGCAACACGGCACGTAAGTATGACAAGCTGTGACTGAAGTCTTGTGTGTGATATTTGACTTGTATGCGGGAAGGGCGAGCGAGGGGCGGATATGATCAATAATGAGCAGTTGGTGAGGGGTCCGATTTTCCTCTCGGGGAATGACGGCTTTGTACTGGCTTTGCCCTCGGGTCTCCCCTTGCCGACGCGGTCGGACGAGGCCGACGCCGTGAGCCGCGCCATTTTTGGGGGCCGGGGGGCCGTGCTGCCTTGGGCAGGCGGCGGGTCAAGCTCTGCGCGCCCTTGCTCGCGCTCCCGCCCTGGCCGGCCGCCTCCACACGCTCCCCGGTGTGCCTGCGGCGCGAAAGGGAGGCGGCAGGAGCTCGTCCCCAGACGGGGCCTGCACTTCGGGGGATCGTCCCAAAGGGGTTCTTGCCGTTCTGCTCCCAGGGTCACCGGTCAGGTATGCCGAGGGTTCGCCGCGTTGCCGCCCGTTGCCACCTCGTTGCCGCCCGCTTGGGGGGAGTTGCACCGAGGTTTCGCCGCACCGCTTGCACCACACAGCATGCACCACAAGATTGTGCTCCACGCAGATTGCATCACATAACTTACACAACCACAGTACAATCACTTGGCGTTTGGGGTTCATTCTGGCAATCATTTGCAACTTGAAGCCTCCAAGGGCCCTTGCCGCGCCCCAGGACCGTCAAGAAAGCGGCTCAAGGCTGAAAAGAGCCAGTCTTCAGGGAGAACTCCAGGCCTCTGGAGAGCCACGGTGTAGAAAGACCACGGCGTCGGATGTCTGAGTTGGGCTCTGATGAGCCGCCCGACCTGGAGATCTGAGCCGCCCTCGAGCCGCCCGACTTGGGGCCACGAGCCGCCCGAATGTGCTTGTGCTTGCAGGGGGGGGGGGGGGCTGACGTCCGCATCGTTTCAACACGTGCACCTTGGAGTTCTCGACGCCACTTCTCCTGTAGACTTCGCGCCGAGGTTTGTCGATTGTGGGCTCTGGGGCCGACCAGGGGCTCCTGAGGCCCGACCTCGGAGAGCAGCTGGCCGCTTTGCTTGTTTGTCCAAGACGTCGGAGGCCTGGGGAACCGACGACGGCGGCGACGACGCTTGCAGCGACGGCAGCGGCGAAGGCGACGACGTCGCTGGGGACGGCGTTTGCGACTGACGCCGAGCCGACGGCGAGGGCGACGACGGCGGCAACGACAGCGACTTGCTGGCCCTGGGCAGGAGGCGCAGAGCAGACGTCCGGCGATCAACCCCATCGGGGGCTTCCCCGAGCTGCTGGCGAGGCTGGAGCAGGAAGCTGGCCGGGGGCGGGCGCGCGCGGGCTGGAGGGGAAACGTTAATGGGGAGGGACTGTCTCAGGGAAGGGTGATGCCTCGGCCCCCAATCGCTTATGCATCGCCGATAGTGGCCCGAGAGCCCGTTCCGCCCAGGACCCTGCTCTCGGAGGCCTATCGCCGATCTATCTGCGATGTATCGCCGATTCCAGCTCTCTATGTTTCCCCTCCTGAGCTGGTCCCCCCCATCCCGTTCCCGCTCAAGAGGAGGAGGGGGGCAGGGTCAGTGGCGCGCCAAACCCGGACCCCCACGGTCGTGAGACAGTGACGACGGACAGCCTGTTCTGTTGTTAGCCGGGTCTCTGGGGGCTCTCGTCGGCCCCCAGGGCCAAGAGGAAACAGCTTGGGGTGAAGAGTTGTTCCAGGGGGTCCACGTTGCGATGATCTTCAGTACGTACGTGTGCTAGCTCAGTGTGTGCGTGTATGTGTGTTGATGCGTGTGTGTGTGTGTGTGTTGATGTGTGTGTGTGTGTGTCTTCCATCTGCTGCTCGCGCTTGAGGGCGCTGACTTAAAGTCCGTGCGTGCTTGCGTGCGTGCGTGCGTGTGCGCGCGCGTGTGTGTGTGTGTGTATGTGTGTGCTTGTGTGCGTGTGTGCATGCGTGCGTGCGTGCGTGCGTGCGTGCGTGCGTGCGCGCGCGGGTGTGTGTGTGTGTGCGTGTGTGCGTGCGTGCGTGCGTACGTTTGTGTGTGTGTGCGTACGTTTGTGTGTGTGTGTGCGTGTGTGTGTGTGTGTGTGCGTGTGTGCGTGTGTGTGTGTGTGTGCGTGCGTGCGTGCGTGCGTGCGTGCGTGCGTGCGTGTGTGCGTGTGCGTGTGTGTGTGTGTGTGTGTGTGTGCGTGTGTGTGTGTGTGTGTGTGTGTGTGTGTGTGTGTGCGTGCGTGCGTGCGTGCGTGCGTGCGTGCGTGCGTGCGTGCGTTGCTGGCTCACGCGTGGTGCCGTCTCTCTCGGCTTTCCCTGCACTCTGCTTGCGCCCGCCCTTGGCGTGCTGGCTCCGCGCGCCCTCCACGGCCTCTCGGCCTGCTCGGTTCTTCCCGTTCTGCTCTTGTGTGTTGGTTCCTTCTTCTCTGGTGTTCATTCCTGCCTTCACGTTTCCTCCCCGGCGTAATTACGTCGCATGCCATGCTCCCGCATTCCCATTCTGCGCCAGAGCGGCGTGTCACCTCCTTGCCATCCACGCCCGGATTTGCTGTATGGCGCCCCTCCTTCTGGCTCGGCCACGTCGGGTAGGCCCCTCCTGGCTGGGATGCCTCCTCCCTGCCATCCACGCCCGGATGCGCTGTATGGCGCTTAGGTGTCGCGAAATCCAAAGCGACTCTTGTGGGCCCGGCCGCGGCTCCGCGCTTCGTACTCTTACTGTCTCCGCCTCGTATCCGCGCGCGAGGCCACTACCGCCAAAAAAGTGCGCGCTTGTGTGTGCGCGCGTGTGTGTGTGTGGTGTGTGTGTGTGTGGTTTGTGTGGTGTGCGTGCGTGCGTGCGTGCGTGCGTGCGTGCGTGCGTGCGTGCGTGTGCGTGCGTGCGCGTGTTTGTGTGTGTTTGTGTGTATTTATGTCTATGATTGCGCTTGTACTTGTGTGCTTGTGATTGTGCTTGTGTTTATGTGTGTGTGTTTGTGTGTCTGTGTCTGTGCCTGTGTGTGCCTGTGTCTATGTCTGTGTCTGTGTCTGTGTCTAGATGGGTGTGTGTGTGTGTTTGTGTGTTTGTGTGCGTTTACCCCGTTCAGCTCCCCCGATAGTGCACAGCCTGTATCGGCCACACCGCCTTTGTCGTGCTGAAGGGCATCTTGTGGATAAGCGCACGTGCGCGACAACCCAGACATCTGGCGTCTCGATCTTTTCGAGACATGGGCCCCCGACCTCCCGACCACTTCCCCAGGACGGGTGTTTCAACCCGAGCCGTTGTTTGAGGGCCCCGAGGCCTGGTAAGGGCCCCGAGAGGCCGAAAATTGTGAAGAGCCGTCGTCTCGACTCTTTCAAGATGCCAGATGTCTGGGCAGCACACGTCCTGAGGACCATCGCACGTTGCGAGGAAAGTCGCGATGTCGGGGGTCGCAAGCAGGGATGCCTCCAACGCGGACAGAGCGCACCCGCAGGAGGCCTCGGGAGGCGCGGGGAGCCCCGCAGTAGGCCCGGGCATCCAGGAGGCAGGCCCCAGGATGCTTCTGGGAGCCAGGAGCGCTCTTCCTCCTCCTCCTCCTCCTCCTCCGCCTGGGATCTATGATCTAGTGGCACGTATGTCTCCAGACGTTGCCATCCCCTGCTCCGCCTCCTCCTCCTCCTCCTTCTCCGCCGCCTCGTCCTTAGCCACGAGGCCCAGGCAGGAATCCTGAGGAAGCCCGTGCAAGCCGCGCGCGGCTTCTGACCCGACGCGCGATCAGAGTGAGGGCGCCGAATGCTATCAGACTGAACCTGGGCGGCATGAGCTGAAGCGGGACTCCGCATTGCGTATGCTTGTTGCCGGAGGAGGAAAAGGAGGAGGACGAGGACGAGGAGGAGGAAGAGGAGGAGGACGAGGACGAGGAGGAGGAGAGGAGGAGGAGGAGGAGGAGGAGAATGAGGAGGAGGAGGAGGAGGAGGAGGAGGAGGAGGAGGAGGAGGAGGAGGAGGAGGCAGAGGAGGAGCAGAGAGGAGGAGCAGAGAGGAGGAGGAGGAGGAGGAGAGGAGGAGGAGGAGGAGGAGGAGGAGGAGGAGGAGGAGGAGGAGGAGGAGGAGGAGGAGGAGGAGGAGGAGGAGGAGGAGGAGGAGGAGGAGGAGGAGGAGGAGAGGAGGAGGAGGAGGAGGAGGAGGAGGAGGAGGAGGAGGAGGAGGAGGAGGAGGAGGAGGAGGAGGAGGAGGAGGAGGAGAGGAGGAGGAGGAGGAGGAGCAGAGAGGAGGAGGAGGAGGAGGAGGAGGAGGAGGAGGAGGAGGAGGAGGAGGAGGAGGAGCAAAAGAAGGAGGATCAGGATGAGGGGAGGAGGAGGAGAAGGCGGGGGAAGGAAGGACGGGAAGGGAGTAAGGAGGAGGGGGGATTGTAGGAGGACGGGACGGAGGAAGGACGAGGGGCTTGCGGGAGGAGGGGGGAGGAGGACGGAGGGGAAGTCTTCTCCCCCGTCCTCCTGGAGGGGCCTGCGGGAGGGGCACGGCCGCCGGCGTCCCTTCGGGAGTGCCCTCGCCTCGTCGGACGGACGACCGCCAGGGAGCGCCTCCCTGGGCCTCCCCGCTCCGCCCCCCTCCCCGCCCGAAGAGAGAGCTTGGGCCACCGTGGGCCTGGACGGCGATGGTCCTTCTCTGAGGCCCCCCCCCCTGGATCTCCTTTCGCGCGTATCAGAAAGTTTGAAGGATCCACGATCCGGAAGGGACCTGTGTCAAACGTTCCTCTCTTGACGCGCGTGTAACATTTTCCCTCTGCCAGGCTGCAACCACTACCTTCCTGCACGTCCTGGGGACCGTGGGCACGTGAAAGTACATGCCCCGCATGCACGCGACAGGCGCTTGTTTGGTCCCCCCCTCCGCGCACGCACTTTCACTTGTGAAGAATCCGACGCGCCCAAGTTTCGGGGGCCCCCAAACGGGGTGGTGACCAAACCGTGTGGTGAGTCGGTGGGGATTCGGGGTCACCGCACGGTTTTGGAACTCGGGTCGGCGACAGGGGCCTCCAGGGTCCCAAGACCGTGCGGTGACGGACCGTGCGGTGAGGTCTTGCGGGATTTCGAGGTCACCGCACGGTCTGTCACCGCACCGTTTCGGGACTCCAAAAAGATGGGTCCCTCGCTGAGGACCGTGCGTATGAAAATACGTGCCCGGCACACACGCGTCAGGCGCATGTTTGGTCCCCCTCCCTGCGCGCACGTATTTTCACGCGTAAAGAATCCGACGCGCCCAAGTTGGGTCCCCCCTGTGGGCCGTGGACACGTGAAAATACGTGCCACGCGGGCCCGCGCAAAGCGCATGTTGGTTCCCCCCCTCCGCGAACCACCACCCCTCTGCGGCCATTCTCGAGCTGGACCGATCCACGATGGCACCAGGAGCCCGAAAAACCAGGCAGGTTGAGGATAATTCGCCCCAGAGCGTTGCGCCCCTAACGTCCCCCCCCCCTGGGATCCTGGCGTTGCACTTTTTTTCGGGCGTAGCCCGAATTTGTTTCTCGTGAGGCAAGCTGACAGAACTGAGTTGAATTTAACCGAACTGAACAGACTAGTCGCACCCGTTACGCGACGATCTTATACTCGGCCGCCAAGGGCGAAACCTATGGCGCAACCGATAGGGGACGGTTTTATACTCGGCCGCCGATTGCGCAACATATGGCGCAACCGATAGGAGACGGATTTTTTCTCGGCCGCCGAGGGCGCAACCTATGGCGCAACCGGTAGTAGACGGTTTTTGTTGGCAGTTTTTTCTCAGCCGCCGAGGGCGCAACCTGTGACGCAACCGATGGGAGACGGTTTTTTTCTCCGCCGCCCAGGGCGCAACCTATGGCCCAAGCTATGGGCATTCGAATGCGTGCGGGGCTACGCCCGATGTATGCTCGCCCTTTGGGCTGGCGGTGGGGCCCAGGCGGCGAGCTGTCTTGTGATTCTAACTGGCGATATCGCCCGGATCCGGACCCCGGGACCCTCACAGATCGGTCCGGCTCGAGAAGTGGCGCAAAAAGATATGGGCTTGGGGTTCAGGTGGCGTCTGTTTGTTGCTGTTTCAATATTGACACACCGTCCGATCTCTGAGGGCCCTCGCCCCTCCCCCTCCACCCCCCCTGCGAGGCCAGGGCCGCCAGGGCCCTTGAGCCGGCGGCGGCGGAGGCGCGCCCGGCGCAGGTGGAAGGAGGCCTGGCCCGGTCTCCTTTTTCTCGAGTAGGGGATCGAATCCAGACTTGATTTACCCCAAAATTCATTTTCCCGCCGAATCGAAGACACAAAACATATAATGTCCCATAAATATTCGAACATCCTACGCATTTCTTGTATATTCGGCGGGGCAATAAATTTTCGAGTAAATCAATTATGTAGTTGATCCCCTATTCGACTTTTTCCAGGGGGAGTCGAAGAGCGGGGGATGAGGACTTGCAGTCGGCTGGGGGAGTGGAGGTGGCAGCACCGAGCCCGGCCAGCAGAAAGTAGGGGGAAAGGAGCCCCTTCTTCGCCACGGCTGGGCGCGGCTCGCAAGACATGTCAGTCTTTCGAATTCAGTTGGGGTCCGGGTTCCGATGTTGATCGGATTTGCCCTGGTCCCTTTCTCTTGAGCTATCTTCCCAAGGTCGATCCAGCGCAGGCCCCCCAGCCGCTTCCAAGCGAGGACTGCGGTCAGGAACTTTGGCTTAGTGTGTCGCGCCGCTGGTTCTGGACCCCCACGCCTCGGCGCGACACGCTGATCACGTCCAGGTCCCTAAGCGTCAATGTCGGGGGCTTTTCCCAGCCTCCCGCCCAGCGAAGCCTAGCGACACCGCATCAGTTCGCTGGGCATCGCGTGTCGCCAGGGTCGCCGCTGCGACACGCTGAGCAGAAGTTCCTGACCGTTGGCCATGACGAGGGAACGCTTCTAGAAAGGGGCTTGTGCGTCATATAGTTTAGACATTAGCCTAGCACAACCAAAATGAGGGAAACGCTTCCCAAGCGGCATGGTTTGGCATTGCTTGACATTGGATTCCCTTTCTTGGTAATTATTGCATTGACTTGTTTTGCTTTGCGATGGTTGGCATTGCTTGGCGTTCGTTGGCATTGCTTGGCATTTGTTTGCATTGATTGGCATCGCTTCGCGTTATTTGGCATTGCTTTTGCATTGCTTGACTTTGCATTGTTCGGCATTGATTTACATTGTTTGGTTGTTTGGTGTTGCCTGGAATTGTTTGGTGTTCCTCGGCATTGTGTTGTACGGCGTGATGTCGCTTGGCATTTCGCTGCAATTACTTAAATGGTGTTGCATGGTTTGGCAGTGCTTGGCATTGCTCGGCAATGCTTGGCAATGCTTGGCATTGCTTGGCATGGCTTCACAAGCAGTAGAGAAACGAGACTAGGGAACCCGGGGAGCCCGAGGAAGGACGGCCTTCCAAGACAGTAAGGCGACCCGGAGACCCCCGAGGAACGCGAGTAAGGCTGGCCTTTCAGAAACAGCAGAGAAACAATGCAAAAGGGACCCGGGGATTCCCGAGGAACGCCAATGTAAAGAAGCAAGACCAGACTGGGGAACATCAGCGCGACAGGGTCCAGCACCCACCGGCTTCTTCTTTAACAAGAACAACATCAACAACAACAAGTAATAACCCTTGAGGGACAACCTGATTTGAGAAGACAGGGGCCTCGTTCCTTACTTGAGTTTCTTGTGGCCGAAAGTTGACTGCACAGCGGGACGCGCATCAAGAAGCTGGATGTTGCTCGTCGGGGCACCTCGGATTATTTTTGATTTCGCGCGCTGCACGACGACTTCCCGTGGGCGTCAAGAACTTGATGCGTTTTGGATGCTCTGGGGTTCACCACCGTGGCACCCCGCGTTCGAATTTCCAGGATTGGGTTTCTTGTGGTCGTTTCTTGCGGCCACGTCACGGTTGGGCGCAGCTCGAAACAGTGGCAAGCATGGACCCTCCGAGGGATCCAGAGAGGGATTTTGAGCAGATTCTTCTCCAAACAGTGTTTGCACCAAAGGGCTCGCATGTAGCTGGTTGCGTCCCCACCGCTGTGGCGTTTTAGTCGATGAATCGGTGCCTCCTGAGCCAGGAGGCGACAGGAACAACAGCTAACCGTGAGCTGATCTGCTGCCCCCCTCCAGTGCTAACCCACCCCCCTCTCGTCCGACCCGAGAGGATAGCCATGGCCCCTGCAGACCGCCGAGTCCACGCAGCGGCCGGGCTGACGACGCTCCCGCGGCGCCCGCGCGCCCCGGGTGCCCCGCGGGTCGTGGGAGCCGCCCGGCCCTCGGTGAATCAGGCACTCCTGGAGCTCTGGCCTGTTTCTCTGCGGCTGCTCCTTGATGAGGCCCATAGGGTGAAGGGTGTGCAGAGGAGGGAGCCAGCAGGAGGTGGACGGGAAGAAGAGGGGGGAGGAGAAGCAGGAGGAGGAGGAGGAGGAGGAGGAGGAGGAGGAGGAGGAGGAGACGAGGAAGGGAGGAGAGGGAGAGGGAGGAGGAGGGAGGAGAGGGAGGAGAGAGGGAGGGAGGAGGGGAGGGAGGAGGGAGAGAGGAGAGAAGACGGAGGGAGGGAGAGAGGACGGAGGGAGGGGAGGGAGGGAGGGGGGAGGGAGGGAGGGAGGGAGGGAGGGAGGGCGGGCGGGCGGGCGGGCGGGCGGGCGGGCGGGCGGCGGGCGGGGAGGCGGGAGGAGGAGGAGGAGGAGGAGGAGGAGGAGGAGGAGGAGGAGGAGGAGGAGGAGGGGAGGAGGAGGGGGGGAGGAGTCTGGCGAGCTGGTGTGCGCACTCCGAGGGCTGGGGTGTGCACCGGTGGCGACCGAGCCCGCCGCTCCCTTCCTCCTGCTCCCCCTCCCCGCGTCAGGGCTTCAGGGGTATACCGAGGGCCGGTGTGCTGCACGCTTTTCCCCCCCCGATCGGCGCGGCACGGCCGCACAGACGGCCACCGCGCCCCCGCCCGTGCGCGGGAGGGCCGTTCGGGCCTGCACTCCTCGCGCGCGCGCGGGGCGGCCTCCTGGCAGGAAGCGGGCCGCCGCGGCGCGGTCGGCCTGGGCGAGGGCCGCGGGGTGCGCACGGAGGGCCTCCACCCGGGACTCCAGAGACGGGGGGTCCGTGCAGACGGGGGTCAGCCAGAGCGCCGGCTCTTGCAGGAGCCTGCAGAGCCAGGGGTGCACTGACCCGGGCTTGGGTGCAGGGTCCTGCAGGGTCCTGCGGGATGCTGCAAAGCCTGACCGACCTCACCGACCTGGGTCTAGATTGACCTGGGTCAGTAGATCCCCGACTCCAGAACGGGCCCAGCTCCGCGGCATCGAGAGGCGGACTTCTCGTCTTCGGCGGCAGCCGGCGGGAGCCAAACGAGGGCTGGCGGAAGAAGGCGGGAGTCGAAACGCCCGCCGAATGTATGCCAACATGTTTGGGCTGTGGATTGTCATAGCGAGCTGCATGTGGCCGCACGTTTTTCCAGCTCTCAGCCCCTCGTACGGCCTGGTGCGCGCTCCGAATACGTATCCAGCAAGTGGCAGCACCGTGTTCCGCATGTCAATGAGTCCGTGCGTGTGTGCGTTCCCGCTTCCTTGCAGAGGTCCCGTGTAGCTACCAAAACCGTGCTGCAGGGTCCGAATCCGAAGCGGCGTCTTCTATCGTTCTCGTTGTCCGGCTCCTGCTATTGCGCTCCGTGCCGTCACAGTCACCATCATTTGTCCTCTCTTCCTCTGAAGCCTCCTCCTCTCTGGCTGTCCGTCACACTCCCATACACAGATGTGTACACATACACATACGTGTGTATGTATATATATATATATATATATTATACCACCACCTTTCGGGTGATAAAGAAATTCAGGGGGCGAGGAACCAATGTCTCACTCCATCGATGTGACTATCGATCTCACTATCGGTCTCACGATCGATGCGACTATCAATCTGCTATCGATACCACTGTCGATATCACTGTCGATCTCACCTTCGATCTCACTTCCGATCTCACTATCGATCTCACTATCGATCTTAGTATCGGTCACAGTATCGATCTCACTATCCCTATTACGATCGATCTCGCTATCGATCTCACTATCGATCTCACCATCGATGTCACCATCGATCTGACTATCGCCCTCACGATCGATCTCACTATCGATATCACTATTGATCTGACTATCGGTTTCGCTGTCGATCTCACTACCGATCTCTCTATCAATATCACTATCGATTTCACGATCGATCCCACTGTCGATATCACTACGGGCACGCTTCAGCAGTCTGCGCGCTCGACCTGGCCGCCTGGGCCCGCCTTCCCGACCTGCCTGTTGGGGTCTACCCGTCCGATCTGCCCGTCTGGTTCTGCCATGTGTTTTCTGCTCCTAGCCCCCCTTTCTACTCTCTCTCGTGCTCCATCCTCCTCCCTCCCCCTTGTCCCTTCCTTCCATCCGTCCTCCCTTTCCCCTGCTGCACGAAATACACGGTGCAGGTAAGAAAGATATACCCCCAAGGGAGTACGATCGAAGACGAAGAGGGCGGGTATCGAGGGCTTGGGATAGACGTGTTGAATGGCACGCGAGCAGAAAAGAGCGGACAGTCTTAATGTGATTGTTGTTACTTTGTTTGTTGTTGTTTTGATGTTGTTGTTATTGTTGGTGTTGTTGTCGTTGAATGTTAGTTACTCAACAATTATTATTGTTGGACCCCCCCAGGCGTTTTGGCGCTCTCGCCTCGGCGCCGGCTACATTTTGATTGAACATGAGGCTCACGCTCGAGCGGGTTGTGGGGGCGCCAAAACGGGCCCCCCAACAGCAACAACAACAACAACAACAACAACAGCAACAACCATTTTAAGGCTGTGCGCTCTTACTTGCCCGCGAGTCATTCAACACGTATACCCTGCACCCTCGAAACCCGGCCTCTTCGTCTTCGATCACACCCCTTTCGGGGGGATTATTTCTCTTTGCTGGGGCCGGCGGGCTTAGACGTACGGGCAAATCGGAACGGGCGGACAATCCTTCGGGGGCGTACATCTCTCTGCCCGCCATTGGAATTGGCGCGGGCCCTGCAAGAGGAGGAGGGGAAGAACGAGGGAGAGTGGGAGGAAGGGGAGGGGGAAGGACGAAGGAAGAGGGAAGATACCACGTTGTGAAGGCGTCCTTGGCGCGTGCGTGGTTCCTGAGCGCCGAAACGCAATTCCAGAATAATTTGTGAGGACGTCGCACGCGAGAGCGCAGTCCTGAGTACATTGTGAGGAAATCTCGGGCGGGAGCGGAAGCCCTGACTAAGTTGCGAGGAAGTCTCAAGCGGGAGCGCCGTTCCTGAGCAAATTGCACGGAAGTCTCAGGCGGGAGCGGGGGGCCTCACTAAATTGCGTGGAAGTCTCAGGCGGGAGCGCCGTTCCTGAGTCAATTGCGCGGAAATGTCACGCAGGAGCGAGGGTCCTGAGTAAAATCCGAAGAAGTCTCAGGCGGGAACGCCGTTCCCACGTAAATTGCACGGAAGTCTCAGGCGGGAGCGGGGGTTTTGATTACATTGCGAGGAAGTCTTAGATGGGAGCGCCTTTCCTGAGTAAATTGCGCGGAAGTCTCAGGCGGGAGCGGGGGTCCTGAGTAAAAATCGAGGAAGTCTCAGGCGGGAACCGTTGTTGTTGTAGCCCGGGGGGCAAGGGCACAGTTTGAGCAGGAAGACTTTCTTTGAGAAAAAACAAAGTGCGAGCCCCGGGGGTGGCACTTCAATCGAAGAAAATCAATGTGCACCGGTGGGGGGGGATCAACAATAATTATTCTTCAAGAATGAGAGTTCAACAACAACAACAACAACAACAACAATTACTAGCACGTGGGGACACTCCGTTCTCACCAGTGCCAGGGTTTTCATAGAGCCGGGCAATACCCCCACTTTGTGGGGGGGCCGGTTCAAGCTCTACCACATTTCCAAACGACTCTTCGCCACCACCCACACCCAGCTTCCCGCCCTATGACGTTCGGACACTTCACTTCGTGGCCTGCGGACGACCGTGGCTACTACACTGGCGCATGGGTACAGTGACTTGTTGTGGTAACATTTTCTGGACGCTAGCTTAGTATACGACTTTTCCCCCTGTTCCAACACTGGACACCTGTACTGGTTTTTGGTGGTAACGTGTTCCTGACGCTAGAATAGGAAACCACGGTAAACCAGTACGACACCTGTACCGGTAAAATCCGCAAGAGCGCGCGGGATGAAATTTTGACACTTTTTTTGAAAAACCATTGGTTTTTTTTTTTTTTTTTTTTTTTTTTTTTTTTTTTTTTTTTTTTTTTATGTTAAAATCGCTACGAACACTACGGTTTTGGAAGGATCTCGTCTTGCGCGCGCGAATGTCCACTTTACTTTGTTTTTTGCAAGGGATTCTTGAAGTTTGGTTATGTTAGAACAAGAAATGTCCACTTTGCTTTTTTTTTGCAAGGGAAAACCGCCCGTAACAAAACAACCGGATCCGGACCAACCCGTTTTGCCAGAGACTTCCTCGCGAAAATGATGAAAACATGGCTGCGGCCTAGGCGCGGCGAGGGGGCCGCGCACCAGGGGCCCCAACAATAATTATTCTTTAGAAGTAATAATGTTCAACAACATCAACAACAACAACAACACCAACAACCAACAACAACGCTTTCGCTTGAGACTTCCTTTTTCACTCAGGGCTGGTGCTCTTGCTCGCCGCAGAAAGCCGCCGTCCTAACAAAACCAGCGCTCCCCTCGAGACTTCCTCCCGTTTTACCTTGGACTGGCGCGCTACTCTTTCTCTCATCGGCGTCGCTCCCAGCAAAAACAACTCTCCCGCTCGAGACTTTCTCCCTTTTTTACTCAAGGCGTCGCCGCCGAAAACCGCCGCCCCGACCAAACCAGCGCCTCCGCCCGAGACCTTCTTCAATTTTACGCTGGACTGGCGCCCAACTCTCTTTTGAATTGGCGCCGCTCCCAGCAAGAACAACGCTCCCGCTCGAGGCTTCCTCCCTTTTTCCTCAGGACGGTGCTGTTTCTCGCCGCGGACAGCCCCCGTCCCGACAAAACCACGGCTCCCGCTCGATGTGTCCTCCCTTCTTATTCAAGGCGGTGTTCCTCCTCACCGCCGAAAGCCGCCGTCCCAACAAAGCCAGCGTTCCCGCTCCAGACGTTGTTTTGTTTTACGCTGGACTAACGTCTGGACTAGCGTTCTACTCTCTTCA